CTCTACATGCTCCCCCTTGGTGACATCATTCGCAGACATGGGGTAAATTTCCACATGTATGCGGGTGACACCCAACTCTACCGCTCTGTCTCCACCCTCAACTCCAGGACTACTGGCATCCTGACCGACTGCCTGTCCGACATCAAGTCCTGGACGAGGGCCAACTTTCTCCAACTCAACGTCAGCAAGACCGAGGTCCTCCTGATTGGCTCGCGCCAACGCCACCGCACCTTGGGCACTGGCAGCATCAGCCTCCACGGCTGCACACTCAACCTCACTAAGCCAGTCAGGAACCTGGATATCTTGTTTGACCCTGAACTGTCCTTTCTCCCTCACATCCGCGCCATGACCGGCACTGCCTACCACCACCTCCGCAACATTGACAGACTCCGCCACTGCCTCACACCTCAGGCTGCTGAAACCCTCACCCACGCATTCGTCACCTCAAGGCTCGACTACTGGAACTCCTTCCTCATCAGCCTTCCCAACTCTTCCCTTCACAAGCTGCAGATCATCCAAAACTGTGCAGCTCGTGTACTCTCACGCACCAGGCTCCGTGACCCCATCACTCCCACCCTCGCCTGACTCCACTGTCTCCCCATCCCCCAGTTCAAGTTCCTCGTCCTCACTTTCAAGGCCGTCCATGGCCTTGCCCCCTCCTACCTCTCTGACCTGCTGACTCCCAACCAACCTGCCCGCTCCCTCCACTCAGCGAGGTCCGGTCTGCTCCATGTCTCCCGCCCGACCCGCCCTGCCATCGGTGCCCGGGCTTTCAGCCTATCTGCCCCCACACTCTGGAACTCCATCCCATGGTCCCTTCACCTCGCTTCCTCCCTCGCCTCCTTCAAAGCTGGTCTCAAGACCCTTCTCTTCAACCGTGCCTTTGGTCGCCCTCCCACCTCTCTGCCTTCCCTCACCCCTACACTACCCCTCCCCCCTACTTATATTGATCTATTCTCACTCAGCTCCTTTTAACCCTGCAAACTCAAGCCTAATGGATAGAGTGGTCTTAGCTGGACAAGCAGCAGTAAACTTGCTGGACAGTACTTGCAAAGGCAAGCTATGCTGTTTTAGCTGATTCAACTCCAGCTGGTTAAACTCCACTCAGTGCATGCTGTAGTCCCCAAACTTTGGTTCTTTCTAACTTGCCCTTTATACTTTCTGGATATGGTAAATGGGGTGCATCCTTCCTGGGAGAATGTGCACATTTCATTCCAGACACAGGAAAATGTCCATGTGTTAGCAGTATAATTGTATGGAGCTCTGAATCTGGCTTAGATATCTGACTGACCCAACAATGTTTTTTAAAAGACAAATCTTAAGGCTAAGACCCTGAAGGAATTCAGGCCTTGGAAATGGATGATGTAATGTAAATGTGGCTGAATTGGAATTATAATACTGTGTGGCAAACTTGTATTAACATGAAATTAACACCATTGGGAGAAGGGGGCAGGAGTTTATCATGTGCAATCTCTAAAAATAACCATCTTTTCATTACATGCTTATAACGGAAGTAAAGTTGCATCTGAAAGATGATCAGCCGTCAACGGTGGGTTTCTTCCAAGGGATAGTCTTGTGCCAATTTTCATTTGTAGTTGTTGCTTCTTTCAAAAAATATATTTTGACTGCTCTGGTAATTCAAAAAGATTATCTAATCAGTAACAGTAATAGAGATGAGGGACAGTATGTACCTCAGGATGGGTTGACTGATTTCACCTGAGGCAGCAGTTGGAGCCATACAAATGAGTTTAATAGCCAGAGCTACGCGGGAAACTCAGTCTGTCTGAGATACTGTTAAACATGGAGAAGGGTTTCTGCATGTCTGACCAAAAATAATCCCTATTACATTGAAGTGAACTTGTGGTTAGTTCTAACTCAAAGAAAAATCTATGTACATTAACACAATCAATAAGAATCTTGGGTGACCCACAGTCCTGACAACCCGTGTCTCTGTCAAAGGTTATTCTTTGTCAGACATGAATAATGGGTGGGGTGAGGAACAGACCTGTTATCTTAAAGTACCTTAAACAAAGTACTGTACTGTTGTTGAACGCTGAGTCACCCAAGCATTACAGCAATTCTGTGTAAATACGTTAAGAGTTAGACTAGTAAAACGAACCATTAAAATTCAATCACTGTTCCATAACAAAACCAGAGCAGGCTGAAAACGTAGAGCAGAACAAACAGACAATAAAGAATCTGGGTGTGCCCCATTTTATGGTGATCTGCCTCACCCTTTCACATGCTGCTTAACAACTTGTATATTTCCACATATGCTTTATTTGATTTTTCCTTAAAGTCTGTTTCTGATTAACACCATTGGGAGAAGAGGACAGGAGTCTATCATGTGGCAATCTCTAAAAATAATCATCTTTTAATTACATGCTTGTAACGGAAGTAAAGTTGCATCAGAAAGATGATCAGCCATCAACGGTATCGAAGGCAGTAGTGAGGTCAAGGAGGACGAGGGAGCCCTGGTTGTAGATGGATAAAATGTCATCTATCACTTTGACCAAAGTTGGTTCTGTGCTGTGGCCAGCAAAGTGCTTTATACTAATTACTCTCAAGCGTGGTGACTGGCTCCCCCTCTTCTCTCACCTCCATCTATTCCAAATGAAGCCCACCACCTGCTCTCTTGACCCAATTCCTACCCCTCTCTACCTTACAGCACCACGTCCTAAACACCCTACTGACAGACATTGTCAACCTCTCGCTGTCCACTGGCACTGTTCCCACCTGCTTAAAAATAGCTGTCATCACCCCTGCCCTCAAAAAAATCTTCACTTGACCCAAAACACAAAATATTGCAGATGCTGGAAATCTGAAACAAAAACAGAAGTCGTGGGGAACACTCAGCAGGTCAGGTAGCATCTATGGAGAAAGGAAAGTGAGTTAACGGTTCGGGTCCACGACTCTTTGTCAGAATTGGGGCATGTTGGGAGGGAGAGGCTTCTAAGGATTAACAGAGAGCGGGGAGGCAGGACAAGGAAGATAAAAGAAAAAATGGGGTAGAGGACAGGGGATGATGGGTTAAAGAGGTATTAATGATGCAAAACAAAAAGGGGGAATTGCAACAAAACAGGACAATAGAGGCGTTAATTGCAACAAAATAGGCAGACCAGAGAGAGAAAAGGTGTGTCTGGGACCAAGATGATGTGGTAATGGTCATAGAAGTGGGGGAGGGGAAAGTGAACTGTTATGGTCTGAATTTGTTGAAATCAATATTGAGGCCAGAGGGCTGTAAGGTCCCTAGCAGATAAATGAGGTGCTGTTCCTCGAGCTTGCGCTGTGCCTCATTGGAACAGCGTAGGAGACTATGGATGGAGAGGTCAGAGTGCTCACGATGTGGTCTCCTCTACATTGGGGAGACAAAACGGACATTGGGTGACTGATTTGCCGAACACCTCCATTCTGTCCGCAAGCACAATCCTGAGCTTCCGGTTTCCTGCCACTTCAACTCTCCCTCCCACTCGCACTCTGACTTCATCACCCATTTTCTCCTTTGTCTTCCTTGCCCTGCCTCCCCTCTCTGTTAGCCCTTTAAAGCCTCTCCCTCTCAACATGCCCCAGTTCTGATGAAGTGGACCCGAAACATTGACTCACTTTCCTTTCTTTATAGATGCTGCCTGACTTGCTGAGTGTTCCCAGCATCTTCTCTTGACTCACCTCTGTTCTCTCGCTACCAGTCCAACCTTCCTTTTCTTTCCGAAGTTCTGGAATGAGTCGTTGCTTCCCAGCTTTGCTTTTTCCTCTCTCGCCACTACCTGTATGAACCTCTCCAATCTGGTTTCCGTGCTGCCCACAATACTGAGACAGCCTTAGTAAAAGTTACGAGACCAGGGATCTCTGTCTCCTCAACCTTCTCGATAACTCTGTTGCCTTTGACACTGTTGACCACTTAGTTCTTCTCCCCTACCCTTATCTCAACTCCATCTTTACGCTTCTGTCCTTGCCTGGTTTCACTCTTACCTTTCCCATCGTCTCCACTTTTTATCCACGAACGGTTTCTCCTCCAGCCACCACCTCTCCTCTTTAATATGTACATGCTTCCGCTTGATAAAATTATCCGCAGGCATGGGGTTAACTTCCACATATGTTGCAATGATACCCACCTCTATCTCCCTGCCTTCGCCGTCGACTCCAGGACCATTGCTGTTATGACTGATTGCATGTTGGACATCAAGTCTTGGATGAGAACTAACTTGCTCCAGTTGAATGTTGACAAGACAGAGGTTCTCCTGCTTGTCTACCATCAGCAACAAATCATGCATACTCCATCTTAACGAGTCAGTATGGTATCTTCTCGACCGTCAATTATCCTTTAAACCTCAAATTTGTGCCATGACCCATTCTGCCTTTCACCACCTCCGCAACATTGCCTGCTTCCATCACTAACTCTTCCCTCAGACCACAGAGATGCTGTCATCATGTTCAGATTTGACTATGCTAACTCACCGGACTTCCCAACTCTCCCTCCACAATTTTTCCGATGCCCTCCTTGCCAGTCTCCTGAATTCCATCACCCACAAAATCCAACTGATCTAAAACTCCACTGCCTGTACCAAACTCTGCACTACCATCACCCCAGTCCATGTCAGGCTCTGCTGGATCTCTATTGCAGAATGGTTTGATATCACACTTACTTACAAATCAATTACACTCTGGCACTTCCCTACCTTTCCAACCTGCTTATACCCACTCCTCTACCTGCACACTTTGCTCAGCTAGCTCACACCTTCCACACATACCTCATCCCCTCAGCTCCACCATGGGTGGCTATGCTTTTAGTCACTATGCCCCAATGCTTTGGAACTCTCTTCGTCAATCCCTTTGCTTTCCCTCTTTTCAGACTACACCTGAAAACCTTCCTCTTTGAATGTACCTATAGTCACCTCCCATCTCTCCTTGGCTCATGGTTAGGCTCTGCCACTGTTACGTACTATCCCATGTGAAGGGTGCTATATAAATGCCATTTGTTGTTGTAGGAATTAAGCTGATGGTCTAGTATAAAATTTATTTCGAAATGAACCACAAAGTACAACAGAAGATAGTCAAAGGCATAAACATAGACTTATACCTAGCCCAGCAAGGTGTACATTCTCATTAAACATAGTATAAAAGTTCTTAGTTCTTATAAAATTCTTTTTTTCTACCACAAAACCGAAACCGACAAAAAATACCAAAAATATCTATTGTACCTACATATGTAAAGGACATATGATATTATAACTACGTCTTTGAGGAAGCTGTGTTTACTTGAAGTTTTGAAAGCAATGAGCAGCCCAGTGCATTTGAACAGTGCATTGCTCTCACTCATCTACTCACTTTATGCAGGATTAAACAAGATCAGAGGGAAGAGACTTTGTGTTGCACTGTGTATATTTTAAGAGCTTCATGGGAAGGAATCTAAAGAAGAAGTCACCTACCTGCTTGGCAACCATATTGGCTGGGGGCAGGGGGTGGGGGGTGGAGGGGGAGGGGCGGAGCGGCCGGGCGGGGAGGACAGGGCGAAGAGCAGAGGGGGTGGGGTGGAGCAGAGGGGGCAGGGCAGAGTAGAGGGCGTGGAGCGGAGGGGTTGGGTCGGAGGGGCTGGGGCAGAGCAGAGGGGGCGGGGTACATGATATTGAGGGAAGTTGGGACCTAGGAGAAAGTGGAATTTGTCAGATTTTCTGCAAGGGAACCAAACACCGATATTCATGGTGGTAGATGTTGACATTATCATATCGTGAATTTATTTTCAATTTGTTTTATTTCCATGATCTTTGAAGGCTGATGTCACGATCCATCAATCAATGTATTTGCTGCAAAGCAAATAAGCCACTTGTTAGTCATCAATTCAAATGTTAGACCTTCAAATGAATAAAGATGATTAGTGAAATAAATTGGACATATTGAAGTATCGTTTAGGGGCGGCTGCAACGCACTGGAACAGAATGTAAATGTTTTTATCTCTCAACTTTCTTAAATAAATGACTCGTGCTAAAGTATTGATCAATATGTATCAAAAGCCACCTGACCCTCATGAAGGGTCTTTGCTGAAGCGAAAGGAATGAACATGAGTCAGAGGTCGTGGGATGCAGCAGGTTGACCCTGAGAACTGACCCTGTCCTCCCACGATGTCAACTCTGCTGTCACTCTTTTGTTCCTCTTCGAAAGGTCAACTGACCAACTGGTAATGGTATTCCTTACAGAGGTAACTGGGCTCTCACAGTGATCATTAAGCCTATTTTGTTGACATTTAGCTAAAGGCAGTTCAGACTCACCCAGGACTTGATGTCTGATCAGCATTTGATCAGGATAGCAGAGAACAAGCTTGTCTTGTAAACATGAGGTAAAGCTCCAATAGGTAAATGCTCCTAGTCAGGCACATAGCATGTGGCAGGATTATTATTTATTGTTCACATCAAGATAATAATAATCTTGGCATTTTATATAGTATCTTATCATGTCATTGAGACATCTCAAAGTGCTTCAGGGGATTTTAGAAAAGATGTCACATACGGGATCCTTGGCTTTATAAATAAGGGCATAGAATACACAAGTTATGATGAACCTTTATAAAACATTGGTTAGGCCTCAGCTAGAGTACTGTATTCAATTATGGGCACCACACTTTAGGCAAGATGTCAAGGCCTTGGAGAGGGTACAAAGGAGATTTACCAGAATGGTACCAGGAATGAGTTATGTGGAAAGACTAGAGAAGCCAGGACCGTTCTCCTTGGAGCACGGAAGGTTAAGGGGAGACTTAATAGAGGTATTCAAAATTATGAGGGGACTTGATAGAGTGAACAGGGAGAAACTATTTCCACTGTTAACTGTTAACCAGAGGACACAGATTTAAGATAATTGTTGAAAGAATCAGAGACGAGGAGAAATTTTTTCACACAGCGAATTGTTCGTATCTGGGTTGCACTGCCTGAAAGGGTGGTGGAAGCAGATTTGATAACAACTTTCAAGAGAGAAGTGGACAGATATTTGGGGATGACAAATTTGCAAGGCTATGGGCAGAGAGCTGGGGAGGGGGATTAATTTGGATAGCTCTTGCAAAGGGCACATGCCTTAGAATTCTATAATTCCTTCTGTGCTGTACAGTTATATAATTCTATGTAGGAACAGCCAAATAAACTCCCTTGAAAAGCAGATGGTTTCTTCCACTTACCATTCCAGTTACAATACAGCTTTAAAACATCTGGTCTCCTCACATTTGATGCTTTATTTCTCTTTTCAATTGGCAGAGGGAACATTGCAGGCAAAACATTGTTGCACAGTAGTCATTGCAGATGGATCCCTAAAAAACCACAGAAGGGTAAATTAGTAATCCTTGCATTTGACATCTCAAAGTGCTTCCCAGAATATATAGTAAAGGGAATTGACTGTATATTTTGTGAGCGACATGCAGGAGCCGATTACGCACAGCAGTGTCTCACAAACAATTGTGGATTGAGTGACCACACTTTTTTTTGAGGGAATATTACCCCCGGAAAACAATTCACCAATCGACCAACAACCAGGTTCCTACATAGGTAAGCGGAAGCATGTGGAGTAAGGAAGCTTGCCTAACATTTTGCCCTGCCTGGGAATTTGAACCCGAGTCGTCTTGTTTGCGAAGTGAGCGCCCTCATCACTAAGCTACAGGACTCCACATATAGAGCCTTATGGCATCACCAAAATGTCTCAAACCATTTCACACTTTAAAGTACAGTGACTATATATTTGTAGACAAACGCGGCAGGCAATTTGCATACAGAAGTGTTCCACAAACAATACAGTGAATGAGCAATTTTTATTTGGGGGACTTTTGGCCAAGATACCAAGAGAAACTTTTCTTTTCGAATAGTGCTACGGGTTTTTAACGTCTACCTGAACAGGCAGATGGTACCTCAACAACAACAACTTGCACTTATATAGCACCCTCCATGCAGGGTAGCGTGTCAGAGCGCTTAACCTCACTTTAATATCTCATCCGATAAGCAGTATCTCTGACAATGCAGTATTACCCCAGCACAGCACTGGAGTGTCAACCTAGACTAACAGTTTAAAGTCCCAATGCAGGAATTGGAACCAAAACCTTCTGACTCAGAAGCGAGGGAGCTATGAATTAAGCCAGGCTGACACACTGAGTATGGGAAATACTCTGGTGGAGAAGCTTGAATGTTGGCCAAACGTTTCTCAGTTATCTGAAGTCTAAAATACAACCTGCATATAGTCTTAAGACCATTATCTAAAATGTATAGAAATAGCTTTTACTGTTAAAAGCAATTGATGAAATTGTACACAGTTTGTAATGGTAAAGATCAGTTCTGACCCAACGCTCCACATCACCATTATCCAGATGGAGTGGCTGGTAAATCTGCCCTTGTCTGTATCAGATGCTGGGACACATGGTTACACTCTCTCTTCTGAAATGACTTCAATGTGACAGTAATATCTGGCAACTTACTTGGATGTTGTACTTTGTTCTGATGAGAGTTCTCATAGCTACCGAGGTTCCACAGCAGCAACACTCGTGCAGGTCATTTGTAATTTGACAGCTTAACCAACACGGACAGAGCAAACCACAGAAACCTGGAAACAGAGAGTTCAAAAGAAAAGGTGAAAAATCTTTCCCATTTTTTTCACAGGAGAGGGACGATTAGCAGCATCAAGGCTGAAGTATCCAATATGAGACTATAGACATGAAGTATACCAGCAAAAAGTTTTCGGTTACTGAGGGGATTGAACAATAATACTGAAAGAATGTACATGAAGGACATTGGGGAATAGAAAAGGCAAAAAGAATAACTAGAGAAGTAATGCTTTGCCAGGCATCAATAAGCAGATAGAGGACTACATTGACAAGAGCGAAACATGTGCAAAATATCAAAACTGGGTAAGGCACAAAGTAATGATGTGGTATGACGAACCAAGTAAAGCTTGGACCAAGGTATGAACAGATTTGTTTTATTATAATGGCAAACAGGACCTCATAACAGTAGATTATACATCGAGATAGAGTGAGTGCACAAAGTTGAATGACCCAACATCCAAAACCATAGTAAACAAGACCAAGGCAACGTTTGCTCAGCATGGAATACCAAGGGAAATAATTAGTGATAATGAGCCACAAATTATGAGCATGCAATCAAGACATTCACGGGGCAGTGGGAAATAGAACATAAAATACCTTCCCTGAGGTATCTCTATTAACAATAGAGATGCACCAAGGGGATAAGGACAGTTAGCAACTTAGGGAAATTTTCATTTGTAGAGAATTGGTGCTAGAGAAACTGTTAGCACTAAAAAGTGACAAATCCCCTGGTCCGGATGGCTTGCATCCCAGGGTTATAAAGAGGTAACTTATGAGATAGTGGAGGCCTTATGTCTGATCTTCCAAAATTCCTTGGATTCTGAAACAGTCCCTATGGATTGGAAGATCACAAGTGTCACAGCACTATTTAAAAAAGGTGGAAAGGAAAAGATGGGGAACTATAGGCCAGTTAGTCTCACATCAGGGATAGGAAGCATTTTAGAATCGTTGGTTAAGGATGTGGTAATGCGCTATTTAGGGAAGCACAATATAATTAGGCCAAGTCAACATGGCTTTACAAAAGGGAAGTCATGTTTGACAAATCTCATAGAGCTTTTTGAGGATATTTCCAGTAAACTAGATAAGGGTGAATCAGTGGATGTGGTCTATTTGGACTTCCAGAAGGCATTCGATAAGGTTCCGCATAAAAGGTTAGTCCAAAAGGGCCCATGGAATTGGGGGGAGCATATTAACGTGGATTGGGGAATGGTTAACGGGTAGGAAACAAAGAGTAGGGATAAACGGGTCCTTTTCAGATTGGCGGGATGTGACTAGTGGAGTGCCACAAGGATCAGTCCTTGGGCCTCAGCTATTTACCATCTACATCAACGATCATGATGAGGACATCGAAGTTAATATATCTAAATTCGCGGATGACACAAAACTAGGAGGAAGTGTCAACACAGAGGACCACATTAAAAAAATGCAGCGAGACATAGATAGGTTAGGTGATTGGGCAGGTAGGTGGCAGATGAAGTATAATGTAGGGAAGTGCAAAATCATCCACCTAGGTAGCAAAAACAGTAGATCGGGTTATTTTATAGAAGGGGAGGGATTGGAATGTGTTAGCGTCCAGAGGGACTTGGGTGTCCTTGTACACCAATCACAGAAAGTTAGTCTGCAGGTGCAGCAGCAATTAGGAAGGCGAACGGTATGTTAGCATTCATTATGAAAGGATTAGAGTATAAGAGTAGGGAAGTCTTCTGCAACTGTATAGGACCCTGGTGAGACCACACCTGGAATACTGTGTGCAGTTTTGGTCTCCTTATTTAAGGAAGGATGTACTTGCCTTGGAGGGGTGCAGCGTAGATTTACCAGGTTACTACCAGGGATGAAGGGGATGAGTTACGAGGATATGCTGACCAATTTGGGCCGATATTCTCTAGAATATAGAAGAATTAGAGGGGATCATATAGAAACCTATAAGATCATCAAAGGGCATGATAGAGTAGATAGTGGGAGATTGTTTCCCCTGGTTGGAGAAACTAAAACCAGGGGTCACAACCTTAAAATCAGAGGCCAGCCCTTTCGCACTGAGTTGAGGAAGAACTTCTTCCCTCAAAGGGTGGTGAATGTATGGAACTCGCTACTGCAAAGGGCTGTTGACGCTCAGTCCTTGAACATATTCAAGACTGAGATAGATAGATTTCTTATTGCAAAAGGAATTAAGGGATATGGGGATAAGGCAGGGTCAGGTTATTAGCTGGAGTTAGATTAGAAGATCAGCCATGATTGAATGGTGGGGCAGGCTCGAAGGGCCAAATGGCCTACTCCTGCTCCTACATATTATGTTATCTCCAGAGCAATGACATGGTGGAATGGGTCATACAAACTGTAAAGAATATGGAAGAAGGCAGACAACTCAGAAGGCAGACAAACACCACTAGCTTATAGAACACAGTGATAAGAGGACAAGGGACAGTTTCAGGCAGAAATACTATCATCACAACGGTTGAGAAACTTATTAAGAAACAAAATTGTGGTCTCAGGAACAGCACAGATATGGAAAGAAACCACAGAATGAACCAAGAGAGAAAACTTTCACAAAAGAGGAAATAATGTGGTTCAGAAAGAGAGACCTACAATGGAGGATTGGACAAAAGAGAAATGTTGTAAAAGGATAAAAACCCAACGTCATATTGGATTAAAGATGGAAGGGGAAAAATGTATAGAAGAACAGCATGGGAGGTCTGGCAAAGAAGGGTGGAGGAAGGTAAAGAGCAGAAGGAAGATCAAGGGGTGGTAGAAACATCAAAAACCACCAGGTCCAAAAGAATAGTAACACAATCTCAAAAATTGACTGAACAGGACTAAGTCACAGAAGGAAAAAAAAGGAGAAAACAAAATAAAAAGGGGAAAGTTATTGGATAATCATTTAAGAGGAAACAGACAATTAACTGGGAACCAAAGAAAGAAGGCCAGAAAGTACGAAAAGGGATATTGGGAGGACAACTGGTGTGGGTTTTACAGTTTGAGTGTTGTAATATTTGAGGTAAGAATAAAATAGTTACAGTCTATACCAGGTGGGAGGTTAGAGGCAGCGTGGCGAGCAGGAGCCATGTCAGCAGCAATAGAGCTTATCTTAGTGGTGCTGAAAAAACATTTTAATGTAGTGTTGATAAATTTGTGCACTTTCTGGACTTCATATCACATGATAAGTGTGAGAAGATTCCGCATGACATGCTGAAGAATAAGACACAGAATCACTTGGTGGAATCAGCATTTCCAAACGTGGCTGTTGTTCTTTGTACATTCTTAACATAACCAGTAACAGTCTGTGAAGGTGAACTCTCGTTCTTAAAGATGAGTCTCATCAAAAACTCACTCAGATCTACAATGATCCAGGATAGATTGAATGCACGCGCAATCCTTGTATATCGAGTGTGATTTGACACATGCACTAAGTTCTGATCATGTAGATGACATGTTTGCAACTATGAAGTCACACAAGAAAGCATTTTAAAAGATATTGTTGCATATTTTGTGTGCATAGTTCAAAGGGCCCCCAAATCTGTTTTAGGGTCCGCCCCGATCCCTTAATCTTGCCCTGATCAGTACTAATTGGGATTGGCCTTTTTGCAGATAAGCAGACAGTGTATAATCTGCAAAGAATAAATTGGCCACAATGCTAACTTTAAAAAAAGTTCCGTCTGGACCTATACTGTCAATAAAGTACCACACTGTGTCAGTCCTACTCTTTCTTTCTCTCTTTCTCTTTCTGTCATTATCTTTCTGATTATTTCTATCACATTCCTTTATTTCTCTCTCTCCCTCACAGGCTTTTCCTCTCTAGCTATGTCTGTCTCACTCTCTCCGAATCTCTCTAATATTCTCTTTCACTTCCTCTATCTCTGATATTAAAGTGCAAAAGTATAAAGACTTACCTTCTTTTCTGGCAAAAAAAATCCTGTTGCCATGCAATATGTTGATTAGGCCCATCTTAAGCCCTATCTTATTAATCATGTTTTCGGTCATCCTTCGCCTCTCCACTCGATTGGCTCCTACCCCCAATTCAGAAGCCAAGCCTCAATTGTTAAGCGCTTGGGACATGCTCCTGACGTGAAGAGCTGTATACAACTATAAATTTGTGTTGTATGTTTGAAGTTGACCAGATATAATAATCCTTGCATTTGGGCAAGTTTGGCAGTACTTGGATGTAGCCAGAGCCAGAATATCCCTAGCAACCTCGTGTATGCACAAACTTTGCACCTGTGCACAACAGCATTTTACATCTTCAGTAAACTCTGATAACTTGTCACTCCAAGGGAAAAGGGCTCAGTGACGAGTGATCTGAAGTGGTGAGTTAGGCATGTGTATAAATACGGAGATAAATGCTGCTGGGATATAGACAACATTTTGACAAGTTAAGCCAGGATTGAGTTTTCAGGAGTTTATTGTGTATAGCACCTTTCATGCGGGAGGACCTGTCAAAATGCTTCATAGAGGTGACTAGGGGAAACATTTTTCTTCTAGCACAGGAAACAACTGTCGTGCAGTGATTCCTCAGGACCAAGGTGTTTTGAGTAAATAGGACAAGAGCAAACTACTGTATTACTTTTATTATACCTGGTGTATTAGGTTGTGTGCTTTCATTTTAATTGCTTAAGAATATTTTAGCTTTGTTGAATGACAAGTATTACACATGGTTATTAGTTGATCTGTTAAAAATTCTAACTTTATCAAACCCTGTCATAATTACAAACACCTCGATCAGGTCCCTCTCAAATGGCTGTTGTCAGGAGTAAGAGGCTCTAACCTGACCATTCTTTCTTTATTGCCTCATTTCCTCCACTGATTCAATATTCTACTTGTAATATGGCAACCCTTCTGTCTCACCCTCTCTTTATGTCTTTCTGTGTTCAAATTCCACTCAAACCCTCCCTCTTCGCAAGTGCCTTCAGCCACCTTCTCCTTTTGCCTTCTCCCCTTTCCCTTGTGTGGCATCCTACTGCACCCTTATAAAACACTTGAGTGGTGTTACCTTAGGTGAGGAGTACTAATTGTTATGTGATCTGGAGGAATTAATAATTAAAATTATCAAGATTTTCAATTACTTTTAATCAACAGAAAAGTAAACCTTAAACTCAAGTCAAGCTTCATTATCCCTTATCCCAGCCAAGGTCTGATTTTGCTCTGGAAGATAGTCAATAATTGCCATGTACAACTTTTTAACCTTTACTTACATATTCCAACATCATCGCAGCAGTTCAGGAGGCTAGAGTTCCACTCTGTTTGGGAGCTTCTAAGCATAGGCTGGTTTACTATTACAACATTACTTTGTTGAGCCATTTTGTTTGATGCACAGCTGTGAATACAAACCTAGAAATAAAAGTAACAAAATATCAAGGTTACTAGACAGAAAGCCAATTGAAGGTCAATTTGCACTTTTGATCTGGTCCAGTCACCTTCACTGGAGGCAAGGATTTCCCCCACCCACCTCCCATTAACCCTGCAAACCAAAGCCCTAACAGGTAGTTCCTACCTGAACAAATAACAGCAAGCTTCTCAGACAGTTCTTTCAATGGAAAACTACAACAACAAACTACCCAAATGAGGAATAGCACATGAATTTCTCATAGATTTAGGATTCACTGCTTTGCATTTGATTTCCTACAGAAAGTAGAAAAAAAAATAGGACTGTTTGTTGGACACTGATGTACGCAATTGGCTGTAGCATTTCGCCCACAAAATACACAGTCAATTCACTTTACAATATGTTTTGTGAAGCGCTTTGAGACATCTCAGTGACTTGATAAGGCGCTATATCAAATGCAAGGATTATTATTTCCGTTACTAGTAAAAAGGGCTGAGGTTCAGCTTTTTTTTCACATGCCACGGAGTCTGTAACTCTTGGCAGATGAATATTGTTGCTTAACAAAATCATTATCTGAGACAGGATATTGCAGATATATAATATGCAACAGATTACTTTCGAAGTGCTAGAGGAATGAAGCCAAACAATAGACTGTTAAAGTATTTGCTGTTCCAGCAATCAGGACAACCCATGAAAGTTTTAAACATGTTTCCAATTTAAACAAGAAAGGGACGTCACAACCCCAGCCTTTCAGACTCGGGCTCTTTAAGTAACTGCATAGAATGATAGAATCATAGAATTATACAGCACAGAAGGAGGCCATTCGGCCTATCGTGTCTGCTGGCTCTTTGAGAAGAGCTATTCAAATCAATCTGACTCCCCTACTTTCTCCCGGGCCCTGCAAACATGTCTTCCCCAAATAATTATCTACTTCTCTTTTAAAAGTTGTTGCCAAATTGGCTTCCACCACCATTTCAGCCAATGCATTCCAGATTCCAACAACTTGCTGTGTGAAAAAAATTCTCCTCACCTCCCTTCTGTTTCTTTTAATAACTATTTTAAATCGGTGACCTTGGGTTATCGACCTGAAATAATTTCTCCTTGTTTACCCCATAACTTCCTGACTTTGTATTCTATACCCCTATTTATAAAGCCTAGTATCCCATATGCTTTTTTAACAGCTTTATCTATCTGTCCTACCACCTTCAAAGATTTACTTATATGAATACCAGGTCTCTCTATTCCTTCACCATCTTTAAGATTCTACCATCAGCTTATATTGCCTTTCCTCATTCTTCCTCTCAAAATGCATCACTGCACATTTCTCCATATTAAACTTCATCTGCCACGTGTCTGCCCATTTTACCAATCTGTCTATGTCCTCTTGAAGTCTGCTACTGTCTGCTACTATCCTCCTCACTGTTTACCAGTTTTCCTAGCTTAGTATCATCTGCAAACTTGGAAATTGTACTCCCTATACCCAAGTCCAGGTCATTTATATAAATCAAAAACAGTAGTGGTCCCAATACTGATCGCTGGGGAATACCACTGCACACTTCCCTCCAATCAGAAAAACAACCGTTCACCACCACTCTCTGCTTCATGTCTCCCAGCTGGTTCTGTATCCATGCTGCCACTGTCCCTTTAATACCGTGGGCTTCTATTTTGCTTACAAGTCCCTTATGTGGCACTTTATCAAACGCCTTTTGAAAAGCCATATAAACTACATTGACTGCACTACCTTCATCCACCCTCTCCGTTAGTTCATCAAAAAACTCTATCAGGTTTGTTAGACATGATTTGCCTTTAGCAAATCCGTGTTGGCTGTCCTTTATTAACCCATATCTTTCTAAGTGAAAATTTACATTGTTCCGGATTATAGTCTCCAGAAGTTTCCCCACTACTGATGTTAGGCTGACTGGCCTGTAGTTCCCGGGTTTATCCTTCTGCCCCTTTTTTGTACAGGGGAGAAACATTTGCAACCCTCCAGTCCTCTGGCACCACCCCGGTAACCAAGGAGGATTGAAAGATTGTGTCCAGAGCCTCCATTATTTCCACCTTTACTTCCCTCAGTAACCTAGGATGCATCCTGTCCAGACCAGATGACTTATCTACCTTGAGCACTGACAACCTTTTTAGTACCACCTCTTGGTTTATTTTTATCCAATTTCTCTACCCTCTCCTCCGATACTGTAGCATTGGCTGCATCCTCTTTTGTGAAGACAGATACAAAGTACTCATTCAATACGTCAGCCATGTCCTCTGCCTCCACAAGAAGATTTCCTTTTTGGTCCTTAATTGGACTCACCCTACCTTGACTAACCTTTTATTCTTTCTATGCTTATAAAATGACCTAGGGTTCCCTTTTATGTTACCTGCTAATCTTTTCTCATACAATCTCTTTGCTCCTCTTATTTCCTTTTTCAGTTCTCCTCTGTACTTTCTATATTCTATTTGATTATTTTCTGTATTTTGGACCTGACATTTATCATAAGCCTCCTTTTTCTATTTTATTTTAATCCCAATTTCCATTTTCATCCAGGGAGGTTTGGATGCCCTACCTTTCCCCTTTGTGGAAATGTATTTGTTCTGTCCCCGAAATATCTCCTCCTTGAAGGCTTCCCATTGTGCATTAGCTGTTTTACTTGCCAATCTTTCTTTTAACTCACTGAAATTAACCCTCTTCCAGTTGAATATCCTCACCTTTGATTGCTCCTTGTCCCTTTCCATAAATATTCTAAACCTAATGATGTTGTGATCACTGTTGTCCAGATACTCTCCTACTAAAAGCTGCTCCACTTGCCCCAATTAATTTCCCAGAACTAGATCCAGCACTGCTTCCTTCCTCGTTGGGCTGGAAACATACTGATCCAGAAAGTTATCCTACACACATTTCAGGAATCCTTCCCCCTTCTTGCCCTTTTGTTATTTTGCCAGTCTCTGTTAGGATAATTGAAGTCCCCCATTATCACTACTCTGTTGGTTTTGCATCTGAAATCTGCTTGCAGATTTGCTTGACTATTTCCTTCCCACTATTTGGTGCTCTATAGTATACACCTACACAGCTCCTTTTCTGCTCCTTAACTCTAACCAAATAGGTTCTGTTTTTGGACACTTTAGCACATGGTCCCTTTCCAGGGCCCTAACCGTGTCTTTAATCAATATTACCACCTCCCTCCCTCGTTTTTTTCCTTCTCTATCCCACCTGAATACATTGTAGCCAGGAATATTCAGCTCCCATTCCCGCCCTTGTTTGAGCCAGGTCTCCGTTATTGCCATTACATCATAACCCTATGTGGCAACTTGAGCCTGCAGCTCACAATCTCCGTGCATATACGCACATGCACTCCAAGACCGACTGAGTCTATCTGCATTTCCCCTCCGTCTAATCCCTTCTTTTTCTGGATTACTCATTATTTTGCTATTCGTCTCTCCCAGCCCTCTATGTAACTTGTTTGTCCTCTCTTATGCTACATCCTGATTTCCTTCCCCACTCAAAATTAGTTTAAACCCTTCTGTGCAGCATTAGTAACCTCCCTGTGAGGACATTGGTCCCAGCCCTGTTCAGGTGCAAGCCATTCACCTAGTACAGGTCCCACCTGCACCCGGAACTGGTCCCAATGATTCAGGAGCCTGAAGCCCTCCTTTCTGCACCATATCTCCAGCCGTGCATTCATGTGTTTCATCCTGCTGTTTTGATACTCACTTGCACGAGGCACTGGGAAGTAATCTAGAGATCACCACCTTTGAGGTCCTACTCTTTAGCTTATTCCCTAGCTTCTGATACTCTCCCTGTAGGATCTTAGCCCTTTTTTTCCCTACGTCATGGATCCCAACATGGACCACGACTTCTGGATGTTCCCCTTCCCCTGTAGAACGTTTTCCACCCATTCCATGATGTCTTCAACCCTGCACCAGGGGGGCAACATATCATGCGAGAGTCATGACTTTGATTGCAGAAACGCGTGTCTACTCCTTTCACCGTTGTGTCCCCAATGACAATTGCATTGACACTCTTCGCTGTGTCTGCCCGTGCATCCATTTGCTTTTGACTCCCCTCCCCAGAGGTGTCATCACCCTCACCGGTGTTCAGTACAGAGAACTGGTTTGTGAGTATCACACTCTCAGGGGATTGCTGTATTGCCTGTCCCCTCTTCCTACTATGCCGGGTTGTTACCCACTCACTTTCCTTCTGAACCCTCTGTGGCTGTGGATTGACCACATCCTGGAATGTTCGATCCATGTACTCTTCAGCCTCCCATATGCAATGTAGTGATACCAACCTCTCCTTGAACTCAGAAACCCTGAGCTGAAACTCAAAGAGCCGGAGGCACTTCCTACACACGTGTTTGTCCAGGGCACACAAAGTATCCTGGAGTTCCTCCATGGCACACATTGTGCATGCAACTGGTCTCAGCTGCCCTGCCATATTCCCAGACATGTTTTATATTATTTTAATATAATTATTATATATTTTATAATTATGCACCTCTTTCCCCCTCTACACCAAATTCCCACTCTCACCAAATTCCTTAACAGAATTCTCACTCTGTTCTACCTCACTCAGTTCCCTCCTCACACTGCTGGACTCTCTGCTCCAAGTGAGAAGTGAGAGATTTAAAAAAAACGGTCATTCACTTCATGGCTGTTTGTGGGATGTTACTGTGTGCAAATTTGCTGCTGTGTCTGTCTACAAAATACAGTCATTGCGCTTTACAGTAAAATCCTTTAAAGCTCTTTGAGATGTTTTCATGATGCAATAGGTTCTATATCAAAAACAAGAATTATGTATTGGTGCTAAGAGCTGCTCTCAGCTCTACACTAAAATGAAAGTCACTGATATCATCCTGTTTGGCTTCTGAAACTCTTCAACTTTTCCACTGCCATCAGAATTCTTGATCATCCCCTGCCAGTGACGCTTTCATTTTTAGCTTCTCCGCAGCTTGACTCAGCTCTATCTGGCAAAATTCTCCAGTTCTCCATTCCAGCCTATTCTCTCAGTTTTTCTGCCTTTAATTTACTGGTTGCTTCCCCCTCTCTGTATTCCACCATTGGGCCTGCAGTCGTCAGGCCACAGTTCCCTGAAACACTTTTGTAAAATGACTTTGCATTGCTTCCTTTTACTCTCTGGTTTTAAAAGCTTTCTTCAACCATGCCTCTGAATTACTCCCACTTAATTCACATTGTTAAGCACATTGAAACATAAATTCAGATAAAAACACCACAAAGACATGCGAGACATGAAGGAGGCGGAGTGAGTGGGGGAGTAGGACTGCAGGCAGGAGATCGTAAAGATAGTGGCTGTAGAGCAAGTTGAAAATAAAAATAAGTATCTTAAAGTTCAGTTCATGGTAATAGGGAGGCAGTGAAGCCTAGCTAGGTATTTATTCTGATATGATTGTACTTTTCCTTAGGGTTTAGCTCACCAAGTAAGAGTCATGCTTACACCATGAAGTTTCATTGATGAAGCAGACAGAATGGTCAGCCATTGACACTACTTGCAACAATAAAAACTTGGATTTATAGAGGGCCTTCACACAGAACAGTATCTCAGAGTGCTGCAAAGTGGCAGGGGTGGATGCTGAGCAAGGGAGAGTGGAAAGGGGAAGTGACCCTAGGCATTATTTGGTGAGCTAAAACCTAAGGGAAAGTAAGGTATAATTGGAATAAATTTACGTTCAGCTGTTATTTTTTCAACATTACAAAGTTCATACAGAAAAGATACAGGCCGCTTGGCTCAATGAGACCAGTGTTTATACTCTACACAAAACATCACCCATTCCTTACTCCCTCCCATACGCTTTTATTACCCTCCCTCTTGTGTGATGGTCCAGCTTCCTCTTGAATGTATCTGTACTATCTGATTCAACCAGTGAGTTTCACAATCTAAAATAAAGATGTTACAAGCGTAGAAAACAGTCCTCACTCATTGAGTGAACTATTGTAATTGGATACCACCCAGGGAAACGTTGGCAATAATATTCTTATTGTAAGGTATAATTCGAATAAATTTATGTTCAGGATTACATGGGCCATCTTTGGTGATGCACATCTATAATGAAATATCTTATCAGTGACCAACTTTACTGAACACGAAGTGTGTAATACGGAATGGAAATTTTACCTCATTATGACTTGAAATTTAAGATGACATGGAACTGTGGGAAATTCTTAAATTCAGCCTGAATTTACATAGAAGTTGTTTTTCAGCAGTTCTTTAAAACAACCAGCTTTCAAATGAAGAATGAATTTAAGAATTCAGTGTGATGTTAATTTTTTAAGACAAAGTAGTCTTAGAGCCTAAGATTAAGTGGAATTTCGAATGTGACTTTTTTTTCTGCTAACATCCCTTAAATTACAATTCTGAGTTCATCTGTGACCCGGTTGCCATATAATGCATTTACTAAGAAATTATAAGTGGAGTCCTGTAGCTCAGTGGTTAGAGCACTCGCCTCACAAGTGAGAGACCTGGGTTTGATTGCCGGCAGAGCGAAATGTTGGGGCAGGGAAAAAAATAGTAATAATAAATTGGTCACTTCAATCATTGACTGTTTGTGGGACACTGCTGTGTGCAATTGGCTGCTGCGTTTCTTCCACAAAATATACAGTCAATTCACTTCACAGTATATTCTGTGAAGCGCTTTGAGACGTCTTGAAGACGTGATAAGGCGCTATATCACTTAGTTCTCTGATTGAGGACTAATATTCTGACTCAGAGCCAGGTGCTAAATCACAAACATAATCACATTTCTATGCTCCTCAGGTCGTTCAAATCTAAACTCTGAAAAACAGTTAAAATCTGAAACTGTTTTTTACTCTTATAAGTATAAGGTTCAGATTCAGGCAACTTCATTAACATTCAGTAGTGTACTACACACACACTGCTCATAACTCTTGAGACTGCTCTTTGTTCCACGTTGGCTTTCGACACAATGTGTTAATTTTTAAAAAGTTCAATAGACACAAATAATATTGAATAAATAGAGCAAATGAAATTATTTTTGTATAAATCCCTCTATCAATGACTTGGCAAATGTTTCAGTGAAATCAAAATATAATGAATAACATAATCTAAGTACTTCACAGAGTTTACATTTTAACTATGAATATGTGTTAGGATCTAAAATTGTTTTTCACCCCCGTCGATGTAAGGTTCGGATTCAGTCTCCTTTGTGAAAACACTTGGTACTGCAATGACTTTGTACTTAAACAATAACAACAAAATTACATTTTTATAGAGCCTTTCAAGTCGGGAAGACGTCCAAGACGCTGGACAGACAGAGTTACGGACCCGAGAAACCCCTTAAACAGCTCTTTGTTCCAACTTGAAAAGCATGGTTACTAAATACAATAATAAGCCTCACTTTTGGTTATCTCATCAAGACATCTAAAAGCACTTTACAGGTTATAATGTTAAGTGGTGTGACTTTGTTGTTGTAGGTGAATGCGGCAGTCAATTTACACAGAACAATGTCCCACAAATAGCCAGAAAATAAATTACCAATTTGATTTGGGAGATTGTTAACCAAGACATCATGAGAAACTGCCTTCTCTTTTCAAATACTGCCATGGCTTCTTTAATGTCCACCTGTATAGGTAGACAGGACTTCGGTGAAACATCTCATCCAAAGGACAGCACCTCCCACAATGCAGCATACTCCCAGCATTGTATTGGATCATCATCCCACACTATATATAATATAATATAATAATAATAATAATAATCCTTGCATTTGATATAACGCTTTTCACATTTTCTCGACGTCTCAAAGCGCTTCACAGAATAGACTGTAAAGTGAATTGACTGTATATTTGTAGGCGAAATGAGGCAGCCAATTGCGCACAACAGTCGTGGATTGAAAATTACCAATTTATTATTGTTTTGGAGGGATTATTATTAGGCTCTGTGTGGAGTAAGGAAACTTGCCCAAGGTTTCGCCCTCTGCCTGGGATTGAACTCAGGTGTCTCGCTTGCAAAGCGAATGCTCTAACCACTGAGCTACAGGACTCCATATGAGTTCAAAGTGCTGATGTGGGGCTTGAACCCCAACCTTCTGACAATCTGGCTCAAAAATGACTATTTCAAAAACACAACAAATCTGAATTCAGCCAATTCCATTTTATGTGTATTTAAATCACTCTATTATCGACAATTGTTTCTCTGCATATAAAATACATCACACACAATGCATCTAGTAAAAATAAATCTGTAAACTACTCACCAGTGTCAGGAAAAAAATCAATTGTGAAGATCTTTCTCTACTTTGCTGAAAATCCAACAAAGTTTGCACAGCGTTCCAAACACAATGTTATATAGTTTCACTTGTGGTTTGGCTCCTTGCCATGCTCATCTGCTATTGGTAGAAATCTTCGTGTAAAAAGAAGTACAGGTGCGTGTACCAATTTCACAGATTTGCATACATAAATCTAAGCTTTTTGTATGTTTTTTTATAATAAGCTTCATGGTTTTATTGTCAGAGAACACAATCACCTTAATCACTAGAATTGCCTAAGCCAACCAGGGAAAGTTCACACCATTAAAAAAAATTAAACACATTCACATATCAGGTTTAATGACTTTTTCCGTTGCGTTTATATAATAATTATTTGCGGAACCTACTATAATATACGGATAGGTCGAAAATACTAAATGGACAAATAACGTCTCATGCACTTAACAGTGACGGAAAACATTGATGAGCCAGGAGAGGGATAGAGGAAGAGTGTTCCAGAGTTTTGGGGCGCAGTGGCTGAAATCATGGACACTGATGGTGGAATGGAGGGCACGAGGGACATGCAGAAGGCCGGCCGAGCAGAGGTTGTGGGTTGGGGGGTAAGCAGGTTGGAAAGGTGGGGAGGTGCCAGGGCATGAAGAGATTTGAAGACATGTGAGTACCTTGAAATCGATCTGCTCGGCAATAGAGAGCCAGTGGAACCTGGTTATAACTGATGTGATGGGGGTATGCAGTTTAGTGCGTATGAGTATGCGGGTGAATATGTGGGTGGTGGAGTTTTGGATTACCTGGATTTTGTGGATAGTGGAGCTGGGGAGCCCGGTGAGAAGAGCATTTGAGTAGTTGAGTAGGAGCTGACAAATGCCTGGATGAATGCTTTGGCTGCGTTTGGGATAATCCTTGTATTTGCATTTGATATAGCGCTTTTTCATGCCTTCTCGACGTCTCAAAGCGCTTCACAGAATATGCTGTAAAATGAATTGACCGTATATTTGTGGGCGAAACGCGGCAGCCAATTGCGCACAGCAATGTCCCACAAACAGTCGTAGATTGAAAAATGACGAATTTATTATTGTTTTTGGTTTTGGAGGGATTATTATTAGGCGTGTGGAGTAAGGAAACTTGCCAAAGGTTTCGCCCTGCCTGGAATTGAATCCAAGTGTCTCGCTTGCAAGGCAAGTGCTCTAACCACTGAGCTACAGGACTCCACAAGCTATGGTTGGAGGTGGGCAATGAGTCGGAGGTGGAGGAAGACGGTCCTGGTCAGGGCCCAGATGTGGGATAGGAAGGACAGCTATGTGTTGAGCCTGAAGCCTAGGACAAGCACCAGTTAAGTGAGTTTGAGTGATAGGCCGGGGAGGTTGAGGAGGTCAGAGCCATAGGACAGAAGAGGACATCACCCCCACCCATGCTTGTCTCCATTGGCTTCCCATTCCCACAGTCCTTCCCCTTTCTCCTCAATTTCAAAACCCTTCACCACCTCTACAGCCTCCCACAATCCCATTGGTAGATAAGCTTTCAGCCCTTCTGCCCCCTATCTCTAGAAGAACTTCATCCTAGAGCCTCTTTGCCTGCTCCCTCCCCCCATTTTTTCAACTATGCTTTTGGTCACCTCCCCCTGCCCCCGCCCCAGCTCAGGCTCTTAGACAGCTGTGTGAAGTGCACTGAGGCATGCTGCGGATGTGAAAGGTGCTATATAAATATTGTTGATGACACCCAACACAAAAATTAGACTTGATTAAGTCAGTGCTCTGTACTGCTATTTTCTTATATCTGCGACTTACATTTTTGACTCCACCTTCTTATCTGATCCATTCACCTCATGGATGTTTATGGGATCTCACTGTATGCAAACTGACTGACTTGTTTGCTACCAATATACTGTTACTTTTACTGACAATAATAACAGTAAAATTACGGTTATCAGGGATTAAATGCTCCGAGATCCTATCCCACGTGAAGGGCACTATATAAATCCAAGTTATAGTTGTTGTTTATTACTTCAATTATCCTTACATAGACTGGGGAAAAAAAGTGTATAGGGCAAGGAGGGGGATGAATTGCTAAAATATGTACAGGAGAACTTTCTTGATCAGTATGTTTCCAGCTCAACGAGGAAGGAAGCAGTGCTGGATCTAGTTCTGGGCAATGAAGAGGGGCAAGTGGAGACTGTGTCAGTGGGAGAGCAACTGGATACTAGTGATCACAATATAATTAGGTTTAGAGTAGTTATGGAAAGGGACAAGGAACAATCCAAGGTTAAGTTACCCAACTGGAAGAGGCTAATTTCAGTGAGTTGGAAAGGGATCTGGCCCAAGTGGATTGGAAACAAAGGTTGGCAGGTAAAACAGTAAACAAGCAATGGGAGGCCTTCAAGGAGGGGATAGTTAGGGCACAGACTAAACACATTCCCATGAGGGGGAAAGGTAGAGCATCGAAAGCTAGTGCTCCCTGGATAACTAAAGAAATTAGGATTAGCCGAAGGCGTGTGGAGTGGGAAGACATGAGATATATCAAGATTGGGGTAAAAAAGAAGGGCTGTGATTGGTCACAGCATTGAATCCATGTTTTACATATACATAACAAACTGTGATAAGGTTTAGGTATAAGATAAAGGTTTGCTAGTATTCTGGGCAGTTGCCAAAGGAGTCATAGAAAGATGGGAAATTAAGTTGCTGCACGGAACTGCCCACAAGTATTACAGGATCATTTGAATTGGTAGTATGCCTTTAATTCTGTAATTGCTTGTGTTTTAACTGTTGTTTAATAGGAAATTCTGTTACACTAATTTGGATTGTTGGGTTATATTTTGAACTCAGGGATCGGAAATCACAACACTGGGATACAGAAAGCAGAGATTAATGGTGAACTGCTATTTTTCAGACCGGAGAGAGGTAAACAGTGGTGTCACCCAGGTGTCCATATTAGAACCACTGCTCTTTTGATATAAATTAATAATCTGGACTTGGGTATATAGAGCAACATTTTAAAGTTCGCAGATGACACAAAACTTGGAAGCATAGTAAACAGTGAGGAGGATGGTAACAGACTCAGGATGACAGACAGGCTGGTGAAATGGGCAGACTCATGGCAGATGAAATTTAATGCAGAGAAGTGCGAAGTGATGCATTTTGGAAGGAGGAATAATGAAAGGCTATATAAGATATACACATATAATATACAATATAATAATCCTTATATTTGACATAGCGCCTTATCATGTCTTCGACATGTCTCAAAGCGCTTCACAGAATATACTGTAAAGTGAATTGACTGTATATTTTGTGGGCGAAACGTGGCAGCCAATTGCGCGCAGCAGTGTCCCATAAACAATCATGGATTGAGTGACCAAATTATTATTATTTATTTAATTTTAGTTTTGAAGAGATTATTATCCCCGGAAAACTGATCTGCCATTCGACTAACAACCGAGTTCCTACTTACTGTTAGGTAAACAGAGGCGTGTGGAGTAACGGAACTCGCCCAATGTTTTGCCCTGCCCAGGAATCAAATCCAGGTCCTCTCGCTAGCGAGGCGAGTGCACTAACCACTAAGTTACAGGTCTCCAAACTAAATGGTACAATTTTAAAGGAGGTGCAGGAACAGAGACACTTGTGGGTTCACATACACAAGTCTTTGAAGGTGGGATCCTTGGCTGTATAAATACAGGCAGAGAGTACAAAAGCAAGGATGTTTTGCTAAACCTTTATAAATCATTATTTAGGCCTCAGCTGGAGTATTATGTCCAATTCTATGCACTACGCTTTAGGAAAGTGTATCCTGTCCTGTAGCTCAGTGGTTAGAGCACTCGCTTTGCAAGTGAGAGACCTGAGTTCAATTCCAGGCAGGGCGAAACCCTGGGCAAGTTTCCTTACTCCACACGCCTAATAATAATCCCTCCAAAACCAAAAACAATAATAAATTGGTCATTTTCAATCCATGACTGTTTGTGGGACATTGCTGTGCGCAAATGGCTGCCGCGTTCGCCCACAAATATACAGTCAATTCACTTTACAGTGTGTTCTGTGAAGCGCTTTGGGACGTCCTCCCGACGTGAAAAGCGCTATATCAAATGCAAGGATTATTATTATTATTATTATTAAAGATGTCAGGGGCTTTGAGAGGATCTAAGGGAGATTTACCAGCATGATATCAGGTATCATGAGGTACTTCAAATATGTGGAGAGACAGGAGAGGCCAGAATTATTCTCCTTAGAGCAGAGAAGGTTGAGGGGAGATTTAATAGAGATGTTCAAAATTATGAAGGGTTTTGATAAGAGTAGATAGGCAGGTGGGTTGGTAACCAAAGGACACAAATTTAAGATAATTGGCAAAAGGACTAGAGGAGGAATTAGGAGAATTTTGTTTTATCCAGACAGTTGTTACGATCTGGAATACACTGCCTAAAAGGGTGATGGAAGCAGATTCGATAGTAACTTTCAAAATGGAATTGGATAGGCACTTGAAAAGGGAAAGTTTGCAGGACTATGCGGTAAGAGTTGGGGAGTGGGACTATTTGGATAGCTCTTTTCCAAGAGCCAGCATAGGCACGATGGGCCAAATGGCTTCCTTCTGTGCTATAAATTCTCTGATTCTATGATTTACATCAGCGTGGTTCCTCTTCCCCACCTCTCAATCTCTCTCTCTCCCAATCAGCTGTGCGGTAATCACTATCTGCAGCCACAGAACTAAGTTGCTAAGGACACGGTTGGTAAGAGACTAGTTGGATAGCTCTACCTTGCCTTCCTGACGCACTGTAGTAATGCTCGATATTATTTCCACTCTCTCTGCGCTGCTTCCTCCCAACCTCTGGCTCCTGCCGCTGCCCTGGGAGGATGTTCATCAGGGAGGGATGGAGCAGAAGTTGGAATGTTGGAAATGGTCTCGGGCTGAATAAAATCAATGTCCGGGCCAGATGTGGCCCGTCGGCCGCCAGCTGGCCCACGCTGGATGTGGCCCATGGACCTTTCTCAAATAATCCAGCCCATTGGACTACCCTGATTTATATTAATGTATTATTCACAATGAGAGTGTGTATCAGAAACCTATTGGTTTTAGTTCCACTTCCATTATTTAATTTTAGATTTATCAGCAACTAGTTTGCAGAAGCAAGTTCCTGTCAGTTGTTTGATAACCACAGCTTCTGCTTGCGTTAACACGTTATGTATAGTAAACTTAGATGCTGATGGGTCCACTCTCCATTTGAACCTTTTTTTTGGTTAGATGGGTGTCATCATCCCATCAACATGCTTAAGAGTATCCAAACCAAACTGATAATTCCATTCACCCCAACACATGGAAATCCCCATGTCTAGAATGGAATGCAGACTCTCTCTCTGTAAGGACTCAATCTGCTTACGTAATGAGAAGAGAGTATTAGGCACAGGATGACAAGAGCCAAGGTTTGGGGACCCCAGAGTGTGCGTTGGGGGTACCAGCTAAAATCACATAACTTACCATTGATATTGTTGTCTTGACAGAGTTTCCTGTTTGTCTAAAGACACTCCTTTTTGATCGTGCTTACGGTCACCTCCCCCGTCCCTCTCCCCCTGGCTCGGGGTCAGACACTACCACCGTCAAGCGCTCTAGGATGCTACCCCCGTATGCAGAGAATCATCCCACTCAGCTCAATCAGTGGGAAAGTTTGTTAGATAGCGATACCATAGAATCATAGAATTATAGAATATTACAGCACAGAAGGAGGCCATTCAACACATTGTGCCTGTACTGGCTCTTTGAAGAGCTACCCAATCAGTCCCACTCCTCCGCTCTTTCCCTATACCCCTGAAAATTTTTCCTTTTCAAGTACCTATCTAATTCCCTTTTGAAAGTTGTTATTGAATCTGTTTCCTCCATCCTTTCAGGCAGTATATTCCAGACTGTAACAACTCTCTGTGTAAAAAAAATTCTCCTCATCTCCTGTCTGTTTGTTTTGCCAATTATCTTAAATCTATGTGCCCTGGCGACTAAGCCATCGGCCAGTGGAAACAGTTTCTCCCTAAAAATTGATTTGAAAGCAAAGAACAATATCACTGGCAAGCTATGCAGTTTTAGCTGGTCAGACTGCAGCAGTACTCCTGGGGTCCCTCATAGGTTACAGAATCTCCATTAAATGTGAAAATATGGCTATCAAACAGAAAAACAGTTAGCCCAAGTTGATGAATTTTCAAACTCTTTGCAATAAAAGCAATATAATTCTTCCAGGTTGGAGATTTTAAATCAGCAGTGGAAAACCTACCTGCAAAATTGATTTTTTTTAGTTCCAATAGCCTGCAAACAGCCAAGGCATTCACCTTGCTGTTCTGTGTCCAATTTCCCCCACCCACTCTTAAACGTAAACAACTCAGCCACAACCAAATCTAAGCAAGTACCATTTGTGTTAATGTGATTCCAGGAAACAGCTAAGTTGTATATCTTCTTTGCATATCTCTTTCATCATCTTGTGGGTGCTACAAGCTGCTGAACTAAGATATGCAAACCTCGAGACACAAGGTGAAAGCAATCCCCAAATAAACCATCTATTCACACTTCATTTCAAATGCTCTTCCTGATTTTGCTGGTACTTTTATTTTGATACATTATTTTCCTCTTAAGTTCTTCACTCTCCCCCTGACACTCTGTCACATTGATTTTCATCTGGCGTGCAGGCGTCTAACTGTGGACTTCAGTGTTATTTGGTTATCAGCTTAGTTTAATTGGTAGACCTTAGTTGTGGATTCAAACTCTGTGGTGATTTTTAAGATCATGTATTTAAGATCACCCTTAAGCACGGTAATGGTTATCTGTATATGTCAGACACCTGGCTGACCAATAAAAAAGTCCTGCTGACAAATCAGGCCGGCTAGTCTGTCATCAACGGTGCCCTAGAATACTATAAATGAGCTCAGCTCCAAGGAGACTGTTCTTACCTTCCTACAAAGATGTCAATCACAAATTGAGAATAATAATAATCCTTGCATGTGATATAGCACCTGATCACATCATCAAGATGTCTCAAAGCACTTCATAAGATATCCTGTAAAAGTAGTTTCACTATGTACTTTGCAGATGAATCGCGGCAGCTGGTTTGTGCACAGCAATGTCCACATGGAGTGAGTGACCTATTTTAGTTGGGAAATTGTTGGCCAGGACAGCAGGAGAAACTCCCTTCTCTTTTGGAATACTCTTTCACAATTCATCCTTTGAAATGCTTTGTGATGTCCTCCTGGCATGAAAGCATCTATATCAAATGCAAGGAATATTTTTTATAGAACAAAAGTTTCTTGCACAGTGCCTGTATGTCTTTGGTTTGACAAACTTCCAAAAGCAATCTCGAGGGGATGGAATGTCAGCATGTCAAAGCAAGCTTTTGTTAAAGTGAAAATGTATCTCACAAAGTACCTTGTCAGACAATAGGATTTTAAAGATACAGTATTATTCTTTCAAATTTCTGCTTATGCTTCAGATGAAGAAGGCCCTTCGACTCATTTTATTTCATTTTCCCATCACAATATCAAACTATTTTTAAATGAGTCCAACATCCATTCTTCGCAGTAATCTGTTTCTAGCCATTAATTACCCTTTAGGTAAAGAAAATTGTCCTGATGTCTGTCCTGAAATTACCCTTTACCAGCTCTAAACCTGTCTTCTTGTGGAGTCCCACAGCGTAGTGGTTAGTGCTCTTGCCTTGCAAGAGAGAGGATCTGGGTTCGATTCCAGTGCAGGGCAAAACCTTAGGCAAGTTTCTTTACTCCAGACTCCTCTCTGTTTACCTGGCAGTAATAGGAACTGCCAGGTAAACAGAGAGTTGTTAGTCGATTGGTGATCGCCTTCCTGTGGTAATAAACCCTAAAAAAAATGTGGTTACTGAATCCACAACTGTTTGTGAGACACTGCTGTGTGCAATTGTCTGCCGCGTTTCACCCACAATATTCACAGTCAAATAATTTTACCATATATTCTGTGAAGAGCTGTGAAAAGTCTCAACAGCGTAATAAGGTGCTATACCAAATGCAAGGATTACTATTATTATTATTATTGTTCTAATGTCTTTTGAAAGTATTGTTCTGAGTTTACTTTTTCAATCCCATTTAAAATGTTGTATCTATAAGATCCCCTCTGAGATGTGTACTCGCAAGCCTGATCCGTGGCATTGGAAACTGGACCTCTAAAACACTGGCATGTCACAAGCAGTTGTATAAAGATCCTCCCACCACACTGAAGGCAGCTGTCCATTAAATAGCTGATGAGGAAACTCAGAGACTTCGGATGACAGCTGCTGAAAGGCATTACTTGATTTGTGAACATATCCTCATACTGTATATATCCATGGCTTGCTATCTACATTGGTATGCAGTGAGTTAAGAAGATGCTGCTCAAGCTCCACACTGCCAACTCTCAGTGGGTAGTGATGTGTGTCCAAGTTGTGGGCAAGAGGATGGTGGCAATAGTCTCATGCTCACCAGAAAGCTTGCAGAGAGTTCTTGGTACCTGCCATCCACCTAGTAGGGGCTTGAACCTGTGCTTGTCAGATGTCAACTATCTTCCTGGAGAAGGAGAGAGATGATAAGCAACACAGTGTTAGAATTGAGTTGATTCTCTGTTGTGGACTGGGAAGGTCAGGTCCGGAGTCAGGAGGGTCCAGGGCACTGATAATGACAGACCAGCCAGTTTGGCTACAGGACTGAAGGGAAAGACCAGTCAGGATTCTTCTAACTTGGGTCCAGTTAATCCTCAAGTCAGTCCTAAAAGGTACAGTGACAAGCTCGTGAGACAAGTAGCAGGAAGTCTGTCAGACATTGCTTTCAATGACAGAGCATGTGGTTAAAATATCTCAGTTTGAAAGAGTGCAATGGTAGTGTTATTGCTCAACCAGATGTCTGACATATGGGGAAAGCCCTAACCACGCTTAAGAGTTTACGAACCAAACTGTTTCATGCAAACCATCTACTCAAGGAATTTTCAAAGTTGTTCAGTTGAATGGAACGTGCACTCTCTCCCTAGAGGGACATACTCTTCCTGCTTACCTAATTCAACAACACCAGCAACAACTTGCATTTATATGGTGCCCCTCACGCAGCATAACGTTCCAGAGCTCTTTCCAGAAAGTATTAGGCGCAGGTTGGTAAAAGCTAAGGCTTGGGGAACCCAGAGTGTGCGTAGCGCCTTGGGACATCCTCCTGACGTGAAAGGCCCTATACAAATGTAATTTTGTTGTTGTTGTTATAACAGGATATGGAAAAAAGGCAGAGAAATGGGAATAATAAATTTTATAGAGCTGGCAAAGGCATGATGGTATACCAGACCGAGTTGAAGGCCAAATGGCCTTCTTCTGAGCTGAAAACTTCTATGCACTATAATTAAAATGTTCCAAACAGTGAGAAACCTCTGCATTTTTCGCATGGAGTGGGAAGATAGAGGATACTGTCTTTGTGATTTAATTCACTGTTGTACATTACAACAACACTTTGCATTTATATATATTATTTAGTGCTTTACACATAGAATAACATCTCAGAGTGCTTTACAATAGCGAGATTGAACACTGATCAGGGGAAAGGGGATAATAATCCTTGCATTTGATATAGCGCTTTTCAAGTCTTCTCGACGTCTCAAAGCACTTCACAGAATAGACTGTGAAGTGAATTGACTGTATATTTGTGGGCGAAATGTGGCCATAGGTGTGATTAAAGACTTAGGTTTAAGGCACAATGTAAAGACATGGAAAGGGAGTGAGATGACTGTACAAGGGTGAGCATAGAAAGAATTAGAGGAGACAAAGCGGAAATGGTGGATTAATTGTGATTTATTTAATTTCAGAATATAGCTCAACAACAAATGAATACAGTAATAATCAGGAAATGGTTAGGATTAAAATCTCAACTGAAGAATACAGATAATTGGATTACAAATCACTGGAAGCCACATAAAAAGTAATCAATCTCGTATACAAAAAATTATTGGATGAAGCAAGGACTCCAGGTAGTGGGATCTAAAGTTATATTATTTTAGTTACCTTAGCAGTAATATTGGTTAGGGATACTTTAGAGAGATTGCAGTAGGTAGATTTTTAATATCATTTTTAGGGTATTCTTTGTTGCTATAGCTTCCTGCAACGCTTGATAATGCTAAAACAGCTGATACTATCAAAATTATCACCATGTATTTTACATGAAGTAACATCTCAAACACAACAATGGGATCAGTGGATGCCAAGCAAAAAGTGGAAGGGATTTAGAGGTGACTGAAGAAGAAGTGTTGGGGGTGGGGTGAAATCAGGGAGAGAAGTAAAAAGACAAAGTAGTTTTGAAGAGTTCTGGAGGACATGTGCATGAGGACTGAAAGAATTGAGTGGAGTGAAGGGAGAGGGAATATGTTGGGATGGGTGGGACATGGGCTGGAGATGATTGCAGAGGTAGAATAGAGAGAGTGATTTGAAAATGAGGAACAGGTCTTGAAAATGATCTGTTGAAGGACGAGAATCCAGTGCAGGATCTTGTGTAGCAGAAAACAATTTTCAATTTGTTTACATCCATAATCTTGAATGTTGATCATCAGTCTTCATTTTAGCATGATGTAATTAATTTAGTATTTACCTGCAAATGAGCAAAGACTTTATAAGTGAAAACAATATGTACAGAATGAAGCATTCTGTCCAGCAGTACCTGCAAGAGCATTGGAATGGGTTGCAGCTAATATCTGCACATTTTCCCACTTCTACACCTGAAGATAATGAACCTCGTAGTATTAATTGCAAACAGCCAAAAAAGTTCTAGCAACCTCGCTCAGGTGACCATTCTTGTTATGTGAAGTAGGATTGTAAAAATGAGTTTCTATGAGTTGCTTTCGTACACCCACACCCATACACACACATGCATTCACACACACACATACACATATACATGCACACATACACACACCCATACATACATGCATACACACACCCCCATACACAAACATATACATGCACATATACACACACACACCCATACACACATACATATTGGAAGCATATATGTGTGTGTATACGTGGAGTCATTAAGTAAGGGTTCCTGAGCAGGACCCCCTGGTTGATTATTTCCCCCATCCGAGCCTGATAATTAAGGATAGTGGTCCAGTCTCCACCCCCCCAATCAACTAAGTCAGCAAAACAGAAGGACAACAACAATTTGCATTTATATAGTGCCCCCATGTGGGGTAGCGTCCCGGGGTGCTCCTGTCCAGAGCACTCCTCAGTTAATAACAGTTGTCACTGCTCCACAGAGTTTCTGTTCCTCACTGAGTGGACTGTGCATTCGCTGAGAGAGGCAGCTGTAGGTATACTTCCTCTGACAGTTTATAATTTTGCAAATAAACTACATATAGCTCAGATAGTTTGGTGGCTGAAACTCTGGCAAAGAAGGTGATAGCACTGCAGTGCCAATGGTGATGCCTACTCATATACACAATGGGAGGAATGTCAAACATATAAATAATGAAACAATGTCATTGCATTGTAAAGTAATGGCCATCATTGATGATGAATTAATCCTGTGTTTCGCTGATAACTTTCAAATCTAGATTTTGTTTTATCACATGGATGTAACATATTGACTTTTCCAAAAATGCTAAAATAATATAAATATCCATGTAACATCATATTGTCATATAATAATATGTGAGCATGAAGACTAAAAGTGAAAATAGATGTATCTTTTTCTCAGAGGGGCTGGGCTTGACACATGCCTTTTCTTTCTGGGTTCACAGCCCACAGTGCTACCTGGCACTAAAATGACAATCTTTTTCTCTCGTTTTGTTGAACCATGCTCCCAATGTAAGGGATTTCAGTGCTCATAATTGCAATGCCTTCAGCATCCACATCAACCGATTGTAGAGTAGGCACAAGCCACTGAATGCAAGTGTAAAGATGTCTTTAAAAAGGACATAGGTTCTTCCACTTACCATTGAAGCTGCAGCACAGCCTTAATAAGTCCATCAGTGGCCTTTGCGCTGTTGATGGTTAATCTCTCTTTTCATTTGGCAAATAGAACACGGAAGGCAAAACATATGTGTGCAAAAGTCATTGCAGATGGATCCCTGTGAAACAGTAAAAATACAGTAAGTACCCTGCTGGGTTGGTGGTCTTGACCAGTTCTTCTTATTTTTTATTGTTATTTTTATTCTTGAGTTTCAAATCCTGACACACTAAAATCATTTTATCTTAACCTGGTCTTAATTTCGGAGTCACTTCATTTCAAGAATTGCACAAAGCTGGCTGTCAGGTTAAAGCTGAATTTCAAAAGTCTGATTGTATCTCGATCAGTTTTAAATTTTAAGATAAAATGACCTTACACATTAAGAGATTAATTGTATCCATTCTAAAATGTCATGAGGATGAAAAAGAATATAAAATAAGACAAAGATGAGCGAGATTTCACTTCTCCCCATCTACAGTATTGGTTTTTATAATTAAATGCTTTACAAGTTGTCTATTTTGAGGTGCAGTTACTCAAAATAACTATTAAATGAGAGACAATTAATATCTCCCTCCAGTCCAAAAGAAACTTGCTGGGAGCTCACTTCCGTACCTGAGTTTGCGGAATGTACTTCATAAAATGTCCAACTTTGAGAGACTGGTTTACAAACAGGTGGATTTTTGCAAATAACATTTACTGTTGAAGGGTATTTATGAAATGTACACAGCTTATAATGGTAAAGATCAGTTCTGACCCAGCCCTCCACACTAGCATTGTCCAAATGGAGTGGCTGGTAAATCTGCCCTGGTCTGTATCAGATTCTGGGAAACATGGTTACACTCTTTCTTCTGAAATGATTTCAATGTGACAGTAATATCTGGCAACTTACTTGGATGTTGTACTTTGTTCTGATGAGAGTTCTCATAGCTACTGAGGTTCCACAGCAGCAACACTCGCCCATGGCACCTGCAACCTGACAGCCCAAACAGACCGTACAGAAGAGACCACAGAGACCTGGAAATAGAGAGTTCAAAAGAAAATGTGAACTTCCTTTTTACGTCTCAAATTACTCATATACTGTATCCCAAAATATTATTTTCTAAAAGAAATCTATCTAAATGGTATTTGAGTGATTCTCTTTTGTAAAATCTATTACAGGCTTTTATTACTATAACAGTATATAGATTACGTTTCTAACAACATTTAAACCCATCATAAATAAGATAAATGTATTAGATGTAATACAATGAAGATTTCATGATGGCGAAAAGGGATATGTGCACACCGCTGCACAATGCAGAGAGAAGTGCTATTTGATGGAAGAGATAAAATAAAAGAATGAGATATTATCCTTTCTCTTCTTTCACTTCCTTTCACTTTTTTCCTGGTTTGCCTCCAAAAAAAGAGTTTCTACAGTTGTCAGTCATGACTCACTTTGAGATGCTTTGATGTGATAATGCAATTTCATTCCATGATTTGACAGGATTAATAATAATTTTTTTAAAATAACCTTGCTTAAACTTTAACCATCAGGAAAGCAAGCATCAAGAATTGCTGAATACAGCCTTGCAAGTTCTACTTACATATTCCCACATCATCACAGCAACTCATCATGGATGTGTTCCATTCAGTCAGGGCATTTGAGGTAAACCCTGGCTGCTGGATGACTACTACCTGACCTGGAGGGTATTGATTCATCTTTATCCTTCCTTTTGTTTCACAGCCACTTCAACACCAACCTAGAAACAATGGAGAGCATTACTGGCTGTAATATGGAGAGAGCACATAACGTATTGTACAAATACATTTGCTACGTGGCTGTTTCTAGGACATTGCCATGCATAAATATTCAACATTCGTTTACCACCTAAAAAATGAATATGTAAGCCTATGTGTGTTTTTTTGGTCAGCAACAGTTTGGAGCTAGGAAGTGGAAATATAACATTCAACAATGGCAAAAACCTACATTAACATACGGTTAAACCTTAAAGGACTGGACCAAATTGGCCTTTATGTGAGTAAACAGATAGGATAGATACATTTAGGCTGTCTTGTGAATCTAGTCTGTGAGCTCACTATGGGGCTTTTTGATCGTGCTTACGGTCACCTCCCCCCTCCCTATCACCCCGGCTCGGGGTTAGACTCCGCCACTGTGACGCGCTCTGGGTTGCTACCCGGTGTGAAGGGCACTATATAAATGCAAGTTGTTGTTGTTTGCTTAAACCCACAACCTTCTGACTCAGAGGCAAGAGTGCTACCAACTGAGCCAGTCTGACTCAGTTAAATGATAGACTGTATCTTAACATGCACATTGAATGATAGACTGTATCTTAACATGCTAGTAAAGGAGAGAGGAGCCAAGGTAAGATCAGGAACAAACTTTATCTACTCTATTGAATTCCTTTATTATTTTAAACCTCAATCAGATCACACCTCAACCTTCTAAATTCAAGGGAATAGAGACCAAGTTTATGCAAAGTGTCTTCATAACTTAGCCCTTTTAGCCCTGGTATCATTCTGGTGAATCTGCGCTGCACCCCCTCCAGAGCCAATATATCCTTTTGAGTTGCGGTGCCCAAAACTGAACGCAGCACTCCAGATGGAGTCTGATCAAGGCTCTATATAGTTGAAGCATCAGCCTCTTCACGTAGGATAACATCTCAAAGTACTTTCCAGTGGCCAGGTTAGACGCCTCGTAAGGGACAAGGAGAAGGGAGTGGTCACCATAGGCACAGTCAAAGAGGTAGATTTTAAGATGGAATTTAAAGACTGATAGAGAAGGGATGAGACAGAGGGGAAGAGGGAGGAAGTTCCAAAGGTTAAGGGCATAGTGACTGGAGCCACTAATAATATTAATAATCCTTGCATTTGATAACGCCTTATTACATCGTTGAAACATCTCAAAGTGCTTCACTAAAGTGGATTGACTGTATTTTGCAGGAGAAATGCGGCATCCGATTGCACAAACAGTCGTAGATTGAGTGACGAAATTTGTTTTTTGAGGGATTATTATCCTCAGAAAGTGATACACCAGTGGTCTAACAACCAGGTTCCGACTTACTGCTAGGTAAACAGGCATGTGGAGTAAGGATACTTGCCTAAGGTTTCTCCCTGCCTGTGAATTGAACCCGGTGTTATAAGTTGGTTAAAATGGCATAAAAGAAACGCTTATGAGGTGCTGTAAAATGGCTGACTTAAAAGAACAAGCAGCGCATTGAAGAAGTAGATGAGCAGAAAGGGCCCTGACCAGATCTTTGTGTTCTGACTCAAGGCCACAAACCATTAACACAGCTGCCCACACAGTATTTGGGTTGACCCTTGCCTTAATTTAACTCAATGTGTGCTACAAGGATGTTTAAAAACAACCTTATCAGTCAGACATGCCATGAGACTGTCATGTGATCATGAGACTTGTTCCATGAGACGAGCATGTTCGCATGGTGACCTCAGGGGATGATCTGATCAGAGGCTTGGTATAGTATCCATCACAGTATTATAAAGCCAAGTTAGTTAACTCCAGAGCATCGAGGAGTGGTTGCAGAGAAACAATGAGGATTGAAAGCTTGGACAAAGAAGACTGAAAGCGAGAAAACGCAAGGCTTGATCATTTGAAGAACTAAAATTTGCTTGCTGTAAAGAACAAAGTGCTGAATCTGCAACTAAAGTTTGCTAGCTGTAAAGACAAAGTGTTGCAAAATCAGCTTGATAGTATTGCTCTGTTTTTTTAAGATAGTCGTGGCGCTCTTTTACACATGTACGAATAAATAAAGTTTGTTTTGATTAAAACATCCTGATACTCTGACCTATTGGTATTACTGAATCCAAACCTGTTTTGAGTGGTTGCAAACACTCTAACACCGGATCCTCTTGCTTACGAGGTGAACGCATTATCTACTACGCTACGGGACTGACTCCACAATGATGACATGGAGGACGGGCAGCAGGCCTGAGATAGCCGAGTGCAGGAGCCCCCTGTGCAACTCCTCTGCAGTATTGTGGTGAATTCCTAATTTCATTTGGCAGCTGGTTTTCCACAGTTCTTAAACAGAACCAGCTTCCAAATTGACTGAATCGTAAATATTAAGACAAAACAGTCTCAAATGCTAAGACAAGGTGGAAGTTTGAGCAAAAGGTCGATTATTTTATACTTAGCAAGAATGTGGCTGCCTGTTTTTCACAAACTCCTGACTGAAAAGTGTAGGAACTTTTTTCTCTACAACAACAACTTAGATTTATATAGCGCCCTCCACGCCTGACGGCGTCTCAGAGCGCTTTACAGTAACGGATCCTGGGGCCGAGCCAAGGGGAGGGGGAGTAAAGTGACCAAAGGCGCAGTCGAAAAGAAAGGTCTTCAGCAAAGACCTGAAAATGGGAAGGGAGGGAGCGAGACGAAAAGAGCGAGGAAGGCAGTTCCAGACCCTCAGGGCATAGTGGCTGAAGGCACGGCTGCCGAGGGTGGAGCGGAGGACTCAGGGAATGAGGAGGAGGCCAGACCCGGAGGAACGGAGGCAACTGGTACTGTTTTGAGGAGAGAGCAGAGCAGAGAGGTAGGGGGGTGCAGAAGAGTGCAGGGACTTAAATACAAGGGTGAGGATCTCTAATATTGTTCCTCATTTCTGTTCGTCAGGAACAACAACCACAACAACAGTAAAATTACATTTGTATAGTGCCTTTCACGTCGGGAGGACTTCCCAAGGCACTGGACAGTCAGTGTTTCGGACCCGAGCTGGGGTCGGGATGGGGAGGGTGGAAGGCAGAGGGGGGAAGGAGGGAGATCAAAAACACGGTCGAAGAGAAGGAGGCAAGGGAAGGGGAAAAGTGCAGAATGGAGTTCCAGAGTGTGGGGGCAGAGTGGCTGATGGCCTTTTGTCAAAGAATCAACCGTTGAACATCAATGGAAAAACAATTATCTTTTAGCAGGGGAGGAGAGTCTGGGTTGTAAAATTGCAATGTTTCGTAATAGGATTGCTCAACAAGTAATCTGAAATGAGGAAATTCCTTTTCAATCGTGTTAAAAAATATAGAAATAACATTTTCATTATTCATAAGAAGCATCCAAAGGGCTCGTAAAATTTGCATGAGTTAGTCTGAACAATGTCGCTTTGATGAGACTGATTGAGATAATGGATGCTCACAACATTTGTCTGGCTCTCGTCCAGCTCAAACAACATAGAATTCATAAAACAAATATATTCATACTATGTATGTAAATAATACAAATATTTATATGTACATGACATGGAATATGTACTTGACATGGAATTTCGCCCGCAAATATACAGTCAATTCACTTTACAGCATAATCTGGAAGCGCTTTGAGACGTCGAGAAGACGTGAAAAGCGCTATATCAAATGCAAGGATTATTATTATTATATAATAAAATCCCAGAAGATTGTAAAAAGAGCACTACCTTTTGAAGATCGTGGAGCTACAATGTTGCCTATGTTGTGTCTCTCCTGGTTACTGTAGAACAGGATCCGCTCAGTGTATGCTTAGCAACATTTATTGCTTTGCTTAGTCCAAAGTATCATCCTTCAAACGTCAATGGAAAATAATTAGCTTTTAGCGGGGGAGGAGAGCCTGGGAAGTAAAACTGCAGTGGTTTGTAACAGGATTGCTCAACCAGCTATCTGAAAAAGGGGAATTTCCTGTTCAACTGTGTTAAAAAATAGAGAAGAAAATTTTTAATTATTCATAAGTATTTCTTAAATTAACACCGGAATTAGTTTAAGGAATACTTAAAGAATATGGCAAATTTGACCCTTATTTTGGCTGGATAGTTGCTGACTAGAGGGATTCATTCCAAGGGGGATTAACCTTAAAGTCAGAACCTTGACAACACCCTCGTGGAGTCCTATAGCGTATTGCAAGCGAGAGGACTCAGTTTTGATACCCAGGAAGAGCCAAACTCTATGCAAGTTTGCTTTCCCCACACCCCTTTCCGTGGGTAATAATCCCTTAAAAAAGTAGTTTTGTCACTCAATGCATGACTAGTCAGAAAGAACTGAGATAATAATAATAATAATAATAATCCTTGCATTTGATATAGCGCTTTTCACGTCGGGAGGACATTCCAAAGCGCTTCACAGAACACACTGTAAAGTGAATTGACTGTATATTTGTGGGCAAACACGGCAGCCAATTGCGCACAGCAACGTCCCACAAACAATCGTGGATTGAAAATGACCAATTTATTATTGTTTTGGGTTTTGGAGGGATTATTATTAGGCTCTGTGTGGAGTAAGGAAACTTGCCCAAGGTTTCGCCCTCTGCCTGGAATTGAACTCAGGTCTCTCGCTTGCAAAGCGAGTGCTCTAACTACTGAGCTACAGGACTCCACCTGAGGAAGCTGACCTCAGATTTCTTCACACAGAGGGTTGTGAAGATGTTGAATGTTTTGTCCCAGAAAGCTGCAGAAACATAGGAACAGGAGTAGGCCATTCAGTTCCTCAAGTCTGTTCCACCATTCTATAAGATCATGGCTGGTCTGTACCTCAACTCCAATTGCCCTCCCTTGCCCAGTATCGCTTAATACCCTAACCTAGCAAATATCTATGCACCTCAGTCTTGAAAATTTGAATAGATCCAACATCCACAGTCTTTTAGGAGAGAGAGTTCCAGATTTCCACCATCCTTTGCTTGAAAAATTGCCTCCTGATTTCACTCCTAAATGGCTCAGCTCTAATATTAAACTTATGCCCCCATGTTCTGGATTCCCCATCAGAGGAAATAGTTTCTCTGTATCTACCCTATCAAATCCCTTTATTATTTTAAGCACCTTAATCAGATCACCCCTCAACCTTCTAAATTCAAGGGAATAGAGACCAAGTTTATACAACCTGTCCTCATAATTTAACCCTTTAAGCCCTGGTATCATTCTGGTGAATTTGGGCTGCACCCCCTCCAGAGCCAATATATCCTTCCTGAGTTGGGGTGCCCCAAACTGAACGCAGCACTCCAGATGGAGTCTGACCAAGGCTCTATATATTTGAAGCATCTTTCTCTTCTTTATATTGCGGGCCCCTTAAGATAGCCAACATCCCATTAGCCTTTTTGATAAGGTTTTGTACCTACGAGCTTGTTTTTAGTAATTTGTGCACAAGGACATCCAAATTCTTTGGTCCTCTGCAGTTTCTCCCCATAAAGAAAATATTCTGTTTTGTCTTTTTTGGATTGATAATGAATGACCTCACACATCCTCCCATTAAACTCCATCTGCCACAAAAAGTTGAGGCTCCAGTGCAGACCCCCGGGAACACCACTTGTCACATCCCCCCAATCAGAGAATGTTCCCTTAATCCCTATTCTCCGTTTCCTGCTTCCCAACCAATTACCAAGCCACATCACAAGGTTATCTCAGATTCCATGAGCTTTCATTTGTGATAATAACCACTTATAATCTTATCTAGTGTCTTCTAGAAGGTCATATAGATAACAAGTGACACAGTAAGTGGAACAGAAAGTAAGCTGCAGAAGCAGAATAGAAAGTAAAACAGATTAGAATATGATTTCTACAAAGCAACCTGCATGGTATAAATAATCTCTTGCTGAGAATGGAGTGTCTTTTCATTGACTAGAACAAGTGTTAGCCGAGCATCAAACAGTAAGAGCCTCATGTCACCTTACCTCTGTGACCCCTGTATGTAACAGTAGGTACAACATTGTCTGCCTCCAGCACTGCCTCCCCAATGGGCTGCTCAGACCCTTATCAATTACAACAAATTTATATTTCACATTGCGATGTCCCAATGCACTGGACAGTTCAGCGCTTGCACTAGAGCTGGGAGTGGGAGCCGAGGGGGTGGGGCTGGGGGAGGTCAAAAAGGAAAGTGTTGAGGCGGACCTGAAGGAGGCGAGGGAAGGGGTGAATCAACACTTTCCAGGCTTGATTCATCTAATGACCAGATCATTGGGCTCTCCAGCAGCAGACTATCCAGAACACTGCAGGCTGTATCCTCTCTCACACTGGGCCCTGCAAAACTCATTACTTCCACCCTCGCTCAGCTCTATTCACTTCCCATCCCCTAGCAAATCAAATACAAGATTCTCGTCCTTGCATTCAAATCTCTTCACAACCTCATGTCACCTTAACTCTGTGACCTTCTGTATGTAACTCTACTGCCTGGCTGCTCCATGCACTCAGCAAATACCAGCCAGTTTCATGCCAACCCCACTATATAGGTTTTTAGCTGTTCTGCCCACACAATCTGGAGTTCAAGCCCAGTGTTCATCCGCCAAACACCTCCCTCCAAGATCCATCTGCCTGTCCAGGTGGATGTTAGAGATCTCATAGCAATATTGGAAAATAGAATGGAGGATATCCTGGTGTCCTAGCCAACAATTCCCCAAATAAAATTGGTCATTCACTTTGTGGCTGTTTGTGTGCAAATTGGCTGTCATATTCACCAACAAAACACACACTGTAATTACACTTTACATTATATCCTGCAAAGTACTTTGGGATGTCCTTCTGATGCAACAGGAACTACAACAACAACAACAAAATTACATTTGTATAGCACCTTTCACGTCGGGAGGACGTCCCAAGGTGCTGGACAGACAGAGTTTCGGGCCCCATCTGGGGGTCGAGAATGGGGAGGGTGGAGAGCAGGGGGGGAAGCAGGGTGATTGAAAGCACAGTTGAAGAGGAGGGTCTTGAATGGGTCTTGAAGGAGGCAAGGGAGGGAGTTAGACGGAGGGACTGCGGGATGGAGTTCCAGAGGGTGGGGGCAGAGTGACAGATAGCCCGCCCACCAATGGTGGTACGGGCGAGGCCGAAACACTGACTGTCCAGCGCCTTGTGACGTCCTCCTGACATGAAAGGCGCTATACAAATGTAATTTTGCTGTTGTTGTTGGAAGCCAAAGCCTCATTGGGTACAGAGGTAATGCTGGACAAGCAGCAGAAAGTTTGCCAGGCATTATTAACTATTGTTGCATGACTTAGTGTTTCTACCACAAAATATACAGTTAACTCACTTTACAGTGTATCCTGTGAAGTATTTTTGAGACATTCCAAAGACTTGATAAGGAGCTGTATCAAATGCAAGGATTATTATAAGTGATTTCTCCACCGTACACCAATACATACATTGGAATTCCCAAATCTTGCTAACTGGTGCCTGAAAAAACATTTCACTGAACAAAAGGAAACTATTTTTCTCTCAGGGGTGGTAGGAGATGGAGGTGGGTTGGGTGGCAGTGGGGAGAGGGATTGAAGAGTTAAGAGATATGAAGTGATGAGATATCTTTGTCGATGATGGTGAGGTCCAAGATGGTGAGGCCCCGAGTGATCACCAGGTCGAGGGAATGACCGCAGACATGGGTGGGTGAGTGGATGTGGAGGGAGAGATTGACGGAGGAGAAAATGGAGGAGAAGTCGGCAGAAGTAGAGCTACTCAGACTGGCAGGGGGTGGGCAGTGGTGTTCCACAAGGATCAATATTGGGACCACTGTTGTTCACAATATACATTAATGATTTGGACTCGGGAATCAGCAGTACAAAATTTGCAGATGCCACCAAATTGGTGTTATTACAGAGGAGGACTGCAACAAATTACAGCAAGACATTAATAAACTTGCTGAATGGGCATTTAAATGGCAAATACATTTAAATGTAGAAAAGTGTGAGGTGGTACATTTTGGTAGAAGGAATAAGGAAGTCACATATGTCCTGGAAAATAAAGACCTAAATGGGGTTGAGGAGCAAAGGGATCTAGGGGTACACATGCACAATTCACTAAATGTGGCAACGCAGGTTAATAAGGCCATAATAAAAGCAAACCAGGCATTGGAGTTCGTTTCTAGTGGGATAGAAATAAAAAGCAGTGAAGTTATGGTGAACTGCTGTAGAACATTGGTTAGACCACACTTAGAATATTGTGTGCAGTTCTGGTCCCCACGTTATACAAGGGATGTGGAGGCACTGGAGAGGGTGCACAGGAGATTCACAAGGATGATCCCAGAACTGAGAGGTTATACCTATCAGAAAAGGCTGAACGTACTTGGACTTTTCTCTTGAAAAGAGGAGGGTGAGGGATGACCTGATAGAGGTCTTTAAAATAATGAAAGGTTTTGATAGGGTAGACATAGGGAAGATGTTTCCACTTGTGGGGGAGACTAAAACCAGGGGCCATCAATATAAAATAGTCACAAATAGATCAAATAGGGAAGTTAGAAGAAATTTCTTCACACAGAGGGAATGTGGAACATGCTACCACAAGGAGCCGTTGAGGCAAATAGCGTAGATGTATTTAAGGGGAAGCTAGATAGGTACATGAGGGAGAAAGGAATAGAAGGTTATGCTTGAAGGCTTAGTTGAGGAAGGGCAGGAGGAAGCTCATGTGGAGCATAAACACCGGCATGGATCAGTTGGGCCAAATGGCCTGTTTCTGTGCTGTATATTCTAATGTATTCTAATGTATTCTAACAAAGACAAATGTAAAGAATTTTTTTTAAGTGTTACCATTTAACAGATACCTGATCTCCCTATTCTTTCTCTCAAAAAGTATAACCTCACTTTTATCTGCATTCAATTTTATCCACCATCTCTCTGCCCAATCAACTAATGTGTCTATGACCCCCTGACATTGCTTTTGACACATGAAAATCTCTCACTATGCTTCAGAGAAAGGGGCAAAGCAGAGAGATATTGAGAAAAAATTCCAGAGCAGGGAACCATGTCTTAAGGCAAGGGAGAATGGGTGCAATGAGTAATGACCAAAATCTGAGGAATGAAGGATTCGGGCTGGAAAATAGGATAGGAGGAGATAGAGAGGTCAGTTGGGATACGATTTTGTTTGGTCAGACGGGTGCCTGACACATGTGGAAACTCAACACCATGCTTAAGGGTATCCAAACCAGACTGAGAATTCTATGGATCCAACCTACACATGGGAATCTCTGTTTATGGAATGGAACACATGTTCTCTCCCCAGAGGGCTGCAACTAGTTTACTTAATTCTGGAGAGTATTAGGCTCAGGGTGTTAAGAGCTGAGGCTTGGAGATTCCCAAGTGTGCACTGGGGCACTGCTGAGATAAGATCTTGAAGGCGTTTGAAAATCAAGATGAAGATCTTAAATTCAGTCACCCTGGGACAGGGCATTTTTTTAACATATAAGGTGGTGGAGAAAATTCCCACCAGATCCTAGGATCCCCAACAATAGTTTCAAGATTCCCCACCAGTAAATTGCCCTTCCATAATAATAATAAAGGTAACAGCGATTTCTTCGGCAGTTGTCAAGCGGTCACCACTTAGGCAGTTTTTTTACAGAATTTTAGGCAAATTCTACAGAATCTTATTTGATAATTAAAGATATTGTATGATTATTACTTATTAGATTCCTGCTTTCATATTATTTTAGTCATTCTAAGGTTTGAAACTAATATATGAAGAAGCATTACTTCATCTGCGTTTAATGTTTCTGGGTGTGGGATAAAAGTGCCCCTTTGAATTCAGTTCCACACTAGTGAAAATTCCTTAAAAAATGCCCTGCTTTAGGGTACTGGCAACTAGTGGATCCTGGCGATGGTGGGGATAAACTGGGTAAGTGGCGCCTGATGCAGAAGAGGATATGGGTTGCATGTTTGTAATTACGAAGCGTGGACAAAGAAATTAGTTTTGAACATTAATTCTGAAAATAAGCCACAGCCTGCACCTCCAGTAAGTCAGTTACTGCAGAGGACAGCTTGTGAGGGTGAAAATGTTAACAGTTTAAAACCAAACTCCAGCAGTGACAAAAGCTCTGGTCAGAAAAGTAGCTCAGGGACTGAACTTACAGCTGGCTCCACAACTGGATTACAGCAGATATAGTATAGATCAAACATGACAGAAAAACTTCCTCCACTCTGTCCCTGCTTTCCATCAAAATCCACTTTTGAGATCCAATATCAATAACTAGGACTGCAGAGCATGATACGTTGTGCATTGTGGCTCCGATCAAACTCTACAGCCAGTGACTCTTCAGGCTCTCCTCACACCTCCCAGTGCATTTTTGACTTAAATCCCTCTCTCAATGTCACTTGAGCTCAGACGTTAAAATACTTCAATCTCTGCACATACAATAATTACACCTATTTCTTTTAAAATCCACTTGAGAAATCTGAATCACTCACCAGGAAATTGACAGGTTCTGGAGCTCCTTTCTTTACAATGTAGCAAAGCCAGTTAGGGTGGATTCAGAAGCACACCTCTCTATATAGGTAGTTCTCTGGCCCTTTGCCAGTTTTAGTCTGATTCCTATTTGTTGGTTACCACAAAGCATTTGTTGGGTTTTAGACACCCATTTTGCAAAGAAACCTGGGAAGCTTTTCATTTTTCTTTCTCATCACCTGAATTTTTTTAGAAAAAGCCTAAGGGACTTTGCAGTAAATCGTGTGAGGCACTTTGAGACATCTCAATGATGTGATGAGGCACTGCATCAAATGCAAGGATTATTATTAATAATATTAAAAAACTAAAACAAACCAGGAAAAATCCCGTTTAGAAAAATCCTTAAACGTGAATTTATGATCAGGTTCAATCAATTTCCATTACAAGTGTGTAGCACTAACTCAGTGTTCGTATCGTGAGCTGTGTTCCATTTTATTCGTCCTTCAAGGTGCTGTTTTCTCGTTTCTCTTTCTTTTTTCTTCTTCTTCAGTTTAAATTTTATCTGTTGTTTGTATAACATTGCTGGTGTAGATTCGCGGTCATTCAACAACATTTATTTTACAATGAACAGAAGGCTTTTCAGTGATGCCATTCTGGATGGGAATAGCTAATCCTAAACCTCCAGCAACCTGTCTTGCTGTGTTTGGTTTGGTCAGCCTGGTGTCTGACACCTCCTTAAGAGTACCAAAAGTAAACTACAGAGAATTTTATGCATGGATAGAAATTCCTTTTCATCAGGTACAAATTGCACACTCTCCCCGGAAGGCCAAGACTTGCTGACCTTATCCTCGAAAGATTAGGCACCAGTTGGCAAGATTTGGGAATTCCAGTGTACGTATTGGTGTATGGTGAAGAAATCACGTATAATAATCCTTGCATTTGATTTAGCTCCTTATCACATCTTCGGAACATCTCAAAGCACTTCACAGGATACACTGTAAAGTGAATTAACTATATATTTTGTGGGCGAAACACTTAAAGCCATGCAACCATAGTGAATAATGCCTGGCAAACTTTCCGCTGCTTGTCCAGCTTTACCTCTGTACCCAATGAGGCTTCGGCTTGCAACAACAACAACAAAATTTAGGAAGACATCAGAAGGCGCTGGACAGTCAGTGTTCCGGACCTGAGCTGGGGATCGGGAACGGGGAGGGTGGAGGGCAGGGGGTGAAGGAGCGTGATCAAAGACACGGTCGATGAGGAGGGTCTTGAGACGGGTCTTGAAGGAGGCAAGGGAGGGGCGAGGCAGAAGGATTGCAGGAAGGAGTTCCAGATCATGGGGGCAGAGTTGCTGAAAGCTCACCCGCCAATGGTGGGGTGGGCGAGGCGGGGCACGTGAAGCAGGCTGGAGCCCGCTGAGTGAGGGGGAACGGGCAGGTTGGTAGAGGGTTAGGATATTACAGAGGTGGGGGCGGGTGCAAGGCCATGGAGGGCTTTGAAGGTGAGGACCAGGATCTTGAATTGTATCATCTGTGTGATGAGAAGCCAGTAGAGTCGGGTGGGGATGGTAATGATAAGATCACGGAGCTTGGTGTGGGGAACGTCACTGGCTGCAGAGTTTTTGATAATCTACAGTCGATAGAGGGAGGAGTTGGGGAGGCCGACAAGCAGGAAGTATGCATAGTCAAGCCTGGATTTTATGAATGCATTTGGAGTGTTTCGGTGGCCTTCGGTGTGAGACAGTGTTGGAGCCGGGTGATGTTGTGAAGGTGGGGAAAATCAGAGCGGGTCATGGCGTTGATGTGGGGTAGAAAGGATAGTTGAGCGTCAAACAAGATGCCAAAGCTCCAGAATGGTTTAGTAAGGTGGAGTGTGCAATCATGGATGGTGATGCTATCAGCATCTGAGTTATGGAGGCACTGACAGGAGCCCATCAGTAGAGCCTCGGTCTTAAAGACGTTAAAGATCCCATGGCACTATTTAAAAAGAGAAAGGAGTTTCCCTTGGTGTTCTGGCCAATAATTCCCCAGATAAAATTGACCACTCTTTCCCTGGCTGTTTGTGGACACACTGCTGTGTGCGACTGGCCACCGCGATTTGCCCACAAAACACAAAATCAATCCATTTTACAGTATATCCTGTGAAGCGCCTTAAGACGTTTCGATGACGAGGCATTATATCAAATGCATGGATTATTATTTTAAACAAATAATAATCCTTACATTTTGTAAAGCGCCTTTCATGTTGGAAGGATGTCCAAAAGTGGTTTACAGGATTTACTGTGAAATAGAGTGACTGTGTATTTGTAGGCGACTGTGCCAGCACAATTGCACACAGCAATATACCACAAACAGCCTTGAAACCAATAACCAATTTTATTTGGGGAATTGTTGGTCAAGACACCATGGAAATTCATTTATGTCAAACAGTGTGTTTGTTTATTATTTTAGAAAGCAACACCAAGGTTACACTGTTTCCATTTTATTCAAATAGCTTAACTGTGCCTCGGCATCTGCTTTTTCCACAGTGGGGACAATGATATTTACTTGTCTTGGCACCTGGGTTCGACCTTAGGCAAACTTCCTGACTGCACATGCCTGTTTACTTAGCAGTAAGTAGGAACCCGGTTGTTAGTCGATTGGTGGATAGCTTTTCCGAGGGTGATAATCCCTTCAAACAAGAAAAATAAAATAATTTGGCCACTCAATCCATGACTGTTGGACACTGCTGTGCGTAATTGGCGGGCTCGTTTCACCCACAAAATATACAGTAAATTCACTTTATAGTATATTCTGTGAAGCGCTTTGAGACGTCTCAATGACGTGATAAGGTGCTATATTGTTTGTGCTGAGCCAGATACAGAGATACAAGCCCTGATCCCATTCAATAATTTATGCCCATAAAAAATGATGTACTTATTTATCCTGAGACTTTTCAACAAATGGTAAAGGCAGTAAAAAAGGAAATGTAAAAAAAATTTAAAAAGTTAAAAAAATGAAAATTATATTTTCATTTAAATGTATTCCTTTTATGAGCATCAGAAAGCATACAATAAAAAAAGGTCAGCCCAACAAGTTGGTTCCTCTTGTTTAGTGAAATGTTTTTTAAACAAAAGTTTGCATTTCCTCTTTTACTCCTTGGACCCAACCCTGTTCTCAAATTACCACCTCATCTCTAACCTCTGTTTCCTTTCCAAAAACGTTGAACGTGTCGTTGCTACCCAGCTTTGCTCCTTCCTCTCCTGCATAGCACAGAAACAGCTTTGGTCACAGTGACACGTGCCATTCTGTCCATTGTTTCCTCGTATTTGTTTCTGTCTCCTCATCCTCCTTGACCTCTCTGCTGCCTTTGGTACACTCTATCCTCCTCCACCATCTAGCCTCTCACCTCAACCTTCATGGTTCTGTCTTGAATGGTTCAGATCCTACCTCTCACACAGTCTCCACTTCATCTCCACAAACGGCTTCTCCTCTAGCCCCCGCACCCTCTTGTGCAAGGTTCAGAGCTTTATCCTTGGTTCCCTCCTCTTCAATATCTATATGCTCCTTCTTGGTGACATCATCCGCAGATATGGGGTCAACTTCCAAATGTATGCGAATTATACCAACTCTACCTCTCTGCCTCCACCCTTGACTCCAGGGCCACTGCTGTCCTGACAGAATGTCTGTCAGACATCAAGTCCTGGATGAGAGCTAATTTTCTTCAGTTGAACGTCAACAAGACCGAGGCTCTGCTGATTGGCTCCGTCAGTGCCCCACACCTCAGGCACTGACAGCATCACCATCCATGGTTGCACACTCCACCTTACTAAGCCAGTCCAGAACCTTGGCATGTTGTTTGACCTTCGACTGTCCTTTCTCCCCCACACTTGTGCCATGAACCGCTTTGCCTCCTCCACCTCCGCAACATTGCCTGGCTCCACCACTGCCTCACCCCTCCACAAGCTGCAAATCATGCCTTTGAGACTCTCAAAACACTTCACAGAATATACTGTAAAGTGAATTAACTGTATATTTTGCGGGCGAAACGTGGCAGCTAATTACGCACAGCAGTGTCCACACACAGTTGTCAATTTTTTAGGAAGGAATTTTTACCCCTGGAAAAGCGATCTGCCAATTGACAAACAAGCGGGTTCCTACTTATTGCTAGATAAACAGAGGTGTATGGAGTCCTGTAGCTCAGTGGTTAGAGCACTCGCTTTGCAAGCGAGAGACCTGAGTTCAATTCCAGGCAGAGGGCGAAACCTTGGGCAAGTTTCCTTACTCCACACAGAGCCTAATAATAATGCCTCCAAAAAAAAAACAATAATAAATTGGTCATTTTCAATCCATGACTGTTTGTGGGACATTGCTGTGCGCAATTGGCTGCCGCGTTCGCCCACAAATATACAGTCAATTCACTTTACAGTGTGTTCTGTGAAGCGCTTTGGGACGTCCTCCCGACGTGAAAAGCGCTATATCAAATGCAAGGATTATTATTATTATTATTATTATTATTATTATTATTATTATTATTATTATTATTATTAAGGAAATTTGGCCAACATTTCACCCTGCTGGGAATCAAACCCAGGTTTCTCTCCCTTGTGAGGCGAATGCTCTAACTAATGAGCTACGGGAATCCACATTATTAAATTATTCCAATAACTTGGTCTGAATCATCATTCCTAGTAACCTGTTTCAGCAATCATTTATCTTTTGTAAATAAATACTGCCCGAGGTCAGTTACTCATTTGGGATAAAAATCTGATTCAGACTTCAGAAACAATTCCATTGAATTAGGTATCTGGGTCAGAGATCAAAGAGAAGGATTATAACTTTTTATTCACTTTTGTTGGTTGGCAAGCCTCTTGGAAAATCAAAATTGTCAAGGACTTGATTAATTTGTAGCTATCGGTGTTCGTGCACTGTGTTCTTATAATCTTTACATTGGATGTCAGCCTGGTTTGCGAACTCAACATTCTGCCCAGGGCAACAACCCTCACTCCGCCCCTCCTGCCGTGAGATATTTTTGAACTTGTCAGCAATTGCAGAACTGGAGGATATAAATACAATACACACGTTAAATACAGATATAA